TGTTGGATCAACGAATGCTGACCGTATATTGTTCCTTGCTTTCGGCTTTGTATCAACACCAGCAAGGTGCACTTGGTCATGGGCTTTCATTTTCAATGCGGCGTGGGGTGAAGCAAACTGATGTCATCAGTTCTTGTTTTTGATCTTGCTCATTGTTTTGACCATGGTTCAATATGGTTAATCTTTAATGCTGCCACTCCACACGCTGTTTCATCCGGGACATGGTGCCCCTCCAACATTCATCGTGCATACGTACCAATCCAACAATTGATCTGAGCATGTTTCGTCGTAATGCGGGCAATTGCGTCAGTTCCGCTTGTGTCAATGGCAGTGTCCCGAACATAATGCATGCACCGGAAATGTTGGTGGATATTCCAGGGTGGGAGGTAATGAAATGGGAAATAAGTATCGAAACATAGCCCCGGATCATGACTTCCAGACAATTTCTTAGCGAGGCAACCATGTTTCCAAACTTACCGACATGGTTGTATCGACACAGAAACCCTTTACGATTTGCGACTATGAATTGTGCCGTGCCCATCCAATGGACAATAAATGTGAACAAATTGTGATCGCGACAAATGAAACCGAACCGCCAACAACTTCATCAGGGTGGTGGGTCGTGCAAACGGGTTAAAAAGAGAATATGCCATGAACCGGACATGGTTCGGTTGCATGGCCAATGATGCGCCGCAATTGTGTCACCTCTTTCAATTTCATCGTGTTTGTTGCCATCCGCCTTTGTTTGTCGAGGAGTTTGCGATCCTATATTTCAAATATTGTTTTCCATGCTGTCAGTGGCCGCATTTGTTTTCAAAATTTGGAATATGTATTGAAACGCATCACCGTTTTTGCATGTTATTTCCCAACGGCCTGGGCTAACACAGAGGATGTAGAAGAGGTTTTTCAAATTTTGCACTTTCGGTTGGCAAATGTGAGCCGAGAAGGAACAACACCATTGTTGGGAGGAGATTTCAACGCTTGCATCGGACCCGTCCAAAACCATGATTACTTTGATTTTTATAAGGACCATGGGGAATGGGGAGCAAAAACGAGCGAAAAACCGATCTTATTCATTTTGTTTTGGGGGAAGGAGTTCGGATCTGCAATCGCCAGATGGCTGTGGAACATGTGCATGACAGTTTTGATGGTGCTTTGGTACAACCCGATTTCATTGTCATTGATCACGAAAGGTAGCGTCAGCTACCTGAGTTCTCCGTGCTTCAGCACAATCATAGGGGGTATTGGGGGGCCAGCCCTGATCAAACGTAGAATTGTAGGCGTTGTGTATAAGATATCAATTATAAGGGGGACCCCCCCAAAATGGTCATGGGTTCAATTCCCGCGGGCGACGCGCCGACCGCAGCAAAGATTTTGAGGCTGCAAGGCAGAGGGGCCAGAGTATGACTCATAGAATAAAGATGCACACGACCTATTTATCAATTGAATATATTTAAATACTCAGTACAAGTGAGATAGGAGTTGTCGGAAGGTCCCGTTTTTTTGATTGCCTATTTCATGAGGGTAAAGTATTGTTTTTGCCCTTTGAAGGTGCCAAACTCATACTTGCATCAGGTTTTTACATTCCCACGGTTTATCGTTGTTAATGCTACAGGCGACAGTTTGGAGACATGAGATAGGAGTTAGGGCTGATTTGGGGTATGTTCACATAACACATGTGTTGGGACTGTCGCATCTATATCCCATGAAGAATTCCCATCTCATGGGTTTTCGACCCTGGACACTTAATGTGTGTTTGACATTTTTTGTTAAATATAAATAGCAAAACATTAAAAATGAACCACTGAATGTTTCATAACTGATTGTGATCATAATTTATGGAAAGCACAATTTTACACTTTCAATATGATATAGTTGTTAATTCCAACGGGAAACAACAAGGCTCGTGGAGAACGGACGGCCTTGGTCTCCCTGTTGTTACCTTTAACGGGAAGCCCCTGGAGGCAATGTAACTGGTCTCCCTGTGCACCTCCGGAGTTTCCCACATGGCCTCTTCGCCGCAAGGGGAATAGCGACCACTAAAAGCAAATGAGCGTTTCTGCGCGCACAAACAAATACTTTGCCACCAAGGGTCCGTGTGAAGGATCGTTTGCGGTTTTTTGATATTGTTAGTACTCCTGTGGATATGCCACGTTCTGGGCACCGCACCGTTTATCAATCGGATTAGTGCCGCATGGATGTGTTATTCCGCCAGTTCCTGCGTATGGTGGTGGGGGGCCCGGGCAATCTGGATTGGTCGCGTCCCTGGCATCACATTTTGCGCGAGTGGAACATGAATGTTCAGACAACCGTAAGTGAACATTTTGTTTCATTTCATTTCATTTCAAATCAGTTCAGTTCATTTCGTTTCATTTCATTTCATTTCATTTCAACTCATTTCATTTCATTTCATCTCATTTCATTTCATTTCATTTCATCCCTGAAAGTCGTGCGGCGAGCCCTCTTTGGGGCGCAGGGGGAAGTGACAACAACCGAAAGTTGAAACATATGCATCTTCATTTTCATCGGTGAGGAAAACAAAAACCTACAAAATCATCGATCATGTCAATCCATACATCGCTCTTCGCCAAATCCCGCCAATGTCCAAGTAGTTCGTGGGGGCATTTGTTTCCAATTCATGCCTGAACGCCGTGCGGCATGCCCTCTTCGGGGTGCAGGCGGAAGTGACACAACAACTGAAAGTTGAAACATATGCATCTCCATTTCCATCGGTGAGGAAAACAAAAGCCTACGAAATCATCGTTCATGTCAATCCATACATCGTCTTTCGCCAAATCCAACCAATTTCCAAGTAGTTTGTAGCGGCAAAATCCTTGAAGTTTCGATTCCCATACAATGCGCGGCCTTCCCACTGTTGCATGGCCCATTGGTGTCCAATGTAGAACCCTTTGAACCCATCTGTTTGCAGGTAAATTTGCAATGTACCGTGCAAAACGCCAATGTTGTTGCAAGCAGGATGTTGTCCACGTAGGAATACCGGATTGTTGAACAAAATAATTGACTCTGTCATTCCAAGCGTGTAAAGTGATATGCCAAGGGCTATCCCAATTTGTTTGCGGAGCTGGACCAACTATGGTTCCTACCAATTTCCGAAAATGAACATCTAATTTTCATAAATCGACTCCATGTATGGCTTTAGGACCTGCACCAAAACAAACCACGGGCGTCACAACTGTGTGAAAGTTGCGAAGCCGCTTGCAAATCGATACATGTTTGTCGCAAAAAACGGTTTTGTTTACATAAAATGCCTTTGTTGCCGCTTGCAAAAGGTATTCGATGTCGGTGTTGGAACTTTTGGAACCTTTACTGGTCAACATGCATTCGAACCACTTGTGAGAACCCGTAGAATCCAAAACTGTAATTTGTTCACCCCGCCTTGTTCTCAAGAAATTTGGGGGTTGGGTTTCTGTCGTCAAAATGATTGTCTTTGATGCATCTAGGGATAGGCCAACACTTTCCAAACAATCAATCAATGTTTCCAACAGTTGTACCAATCTGTGCGACGTTTCCGCAAAAAGGAGAATGTCATCTGCAAACCGCAAATCCAACAGATGTTGCAAACCATCCTTCAAATTCAGACCGTTCCTTTCTTCTGCATTGCGCCAACTTCGCATTGCTTCCTGGAGTGCTGCGCAGAAAAGGCGTGGACTAAGAACACATCCTTGACGTACACCTGCACTAATTTCAAAGTCATCGCTAACATCATTCGATTGTCCCATCACTTGGCCCCGTTGATCTGCATAAAGTGTTTCCAAAAGCCAAGCCAAATGATCTGAGACTCCTTGTCTGCGAAGTGCTCGCCCAATGTACCCGATCAAATGCTTTTGGACAAATCAAGGCGAACAATCAGTAGTGGCAAATTGAATCTTTTGCTTTTATCCAACATCAAATTTGTAGTGAACACATGTTCTTCCATCCGCCGTGCTGCCCGAAAACCATTTTTGTTCTTCTGGTTGTTCCATGTCCAAAGTTGCTTCGATGCGATGCAAAATCATGTGCGCAAAAATTTTGTAGAGCAAACGGATATTGGCAATCGGCCTGAACACCAGGTGAAATTGTGGGCACACCGTTGTCTAGAATCACATTACAATCTTGGATTATACATCGCTAATTTACCTGCTGCAAGGTGGGTCCAAAGAGCCCCGCGTTGGAAACCTGCTGGTGCACGTGTTGCAGGACATCCTTGACATGACTGGACATCAGAGTTTCAATCGTACACCAGGTATCGACAGACGGGTCATTGGTACACTCTGGCATCCAACACGAAATTGTGGACACACTTGGCGGAAGATTTCGTCATATTTGCTTCCGGCCAAACCCAATGAAGAACAACGAGCACCTTGTAGGAAATCCTCACCAATTCTTTCTAGGTTCCTGCGCCCGACACGGGCTGCCCACAGGCATGCAGGATGAATTTGAACTTGAAATTTGTTGCCTACACATGGTGTTGAAAAGCGCATAGCAAATCAAGGGGCTTGAGAACACAAGAAGAGAGGTAAATCAGAAAAAAAAAACACGAAAATAATGAAATGTAAAAAGTGTCACGTGTGTCGACCAAAAGGGGTTAGCGAAAAACTGGATCACCAAAAAAAAATGTCAAGAATATAAAAAACAAGAGAAATGGACGTCGAAAGAAACAATCCAAAAGCAACAGGATGTCAAGAAAAAACCAGGAGAAAAGGGATGTCGAAAAAAATTAGACAAACAACGTATTTGGGAACGAAGGGCCACGCTGCTTTCCCAGAGTGTCGTTGTAAACCCTGATGCCCCGCATCTCCGTAAATATCCGCTGTTCAGCAAACGGTTACTTGTATTTTTAGGTGTGATCTTCTTCCTGATACAGGGCTATGATGCGTTCTGTTCGAAGCACGGGGCAGCATCCCAGAAATTGATGGCAAAACAGCGCCCGCGGGAACAGATCGATGTAGAACTGCTTGTTGCGTGGTTGAAACCGTTAAATGCTACCTTAACTGTTGCGAAGGCTCAAAAATGAGGCCCGGCCATCGTTCCCAAATATCGCTTTGCATGGTGGGACATTGCCGCGAAACTTGGCGTATGCAAAAAGTGGGAAGAGGGCAGCAAATTTGAAGAATGGGCGGATTATGATTTCTTGTTATTATGATTATGATTATGATGATGATGATGATTATTATTATTATTTGATTACTTTTACTATTATTCTTATTTTTAATTTTATTGTGATGTTTTTTTTTGGTTTTTTGTTTCATTACTAAAATTACTTTATTTCTATGACTATTCTTATTTTTATTCGTTGTTGTTGTTCCTGTTGCTGCTGTTGCTGCTGTTGTTGCTGCTGTTCCTGCTGTTGTTGCCGTTGTCGCTGTTGTTGTTGTTGTTGTTGTTGTGGTTGTGGTTGTTGTTGTTGTTGTTCTTCTTGCTGTTGCTGTTGCTGTTGCTGTTGTTGTTGTTGCTGTTGCTGTTGCTGTTGCTGTTGCTGTTACTGTTGCTGTTGCTGTTGCTGTTGTTGTTGTTGTTTTTGAGGAGGTTGTTGTTGAGGAGGTTGTTGTTGAAGAAAAAATGCACGCATTGAAAATTGGTTGGTTTTTTCTTTTTGATTTGATGATATACCGTTTTGTGCTAGGAAACCAATGGCAAGTAATGTGCGCAGTCTGGGAATGAGGATCCCAACCACCTGTCACCGCATCATTTTGCAAACCGCCTGTGAAGCAGCAAGCTGGTCACTGGTTGTAAGGCAGATAAGAGAATGTTCGGCATGTAAATTTCCGCCCTGAGGATCGAAACCTGCGATGATTTCATTGCGCCACCTGCACGCTGTCACCAAAGAGTGCAAGTGTTCAAAGCGTTTGCTGCAGGAATGTGGCCGTTTGGTTGCCAACATGCTTTCTCCATCCTATATGCCAGTGGTTGCTAAGAATAACAAACCATCTCCATCGTGACAGTTTCAAAGCAATAAGGGCCAACAAAATCACAGCACTTTGTTCATTCAGACTATTGGCACTGTGTTACCGAGTGTTCCTTGTTTGGTGGCAAACTCTATGCTCCATGGCAGGACCTTTACAGACGAGGTGGTCATGATGCGCATGGTGCAAGGTTTGGTCGCGTTTTTGCGCGTCTTGGGCGAATTCACTTGTTGCATTGCATGGCGTGGAACATGCCCATTGAATTTGGCAACAGTCTTTCAAAACAATATCGTAGAGGTCTTGAAATGGAAAGCCCCTAAGGGAGTGCAATTTTGAGAAGCACGCGCCATAGCACTGATGACCAAGTTTTTGATCAACTTGGACTTTGTTGTACATCATGGGCCGTGTCCAAAGTTCCCGACAGGTTCGCAATCATTTTTCGTCCAACTGCAAATTCCTGGAAATCAAAAGTCTCGTGGGCGCAATCTGCTGCAAACACAGCAAACCCATGTTTTGCTACGAGGTTTCCGTGCAGCGGACCGCTGGGTTGCCTTGCGGGTGCTCGGCGCTTCTACGTTGATAGCATTGATCGCACCGTTTCAGTGCAGACCTTAACAGATCCCATGGAGCCTGGGATGCAAATACAGAGAGGGTTGACTGAAGTTAACTTTGACTTAATCCCAACCCCGGATTGCTAAACACGGACGAACACAAATTAGGGGCCACCGTGAAAACAGTGATAAATTATCGAAGGAAGTTTAGAAGTCAAACTTCCGACAATATGGACAGATGAAAAGCAGAGCAGGGCAGAGGCAGAGAGAAGAGGAAGATTAGAAGAGAGAAGATCAGAAGAGAAAGAGTAAGAAGACAGAAGATACAGATGCGCGAAAAGGTAGGAAAGTCGCGAAACACTGTGTTTTTCCAATGATTTGTGGCTCCGCAGGGTCGAAAAGTAGGCTCGCTAAAGCGGCGGGTGCGGAGCCAGCTGGCCACAGCGATGAAAAATTGCACGCCGTTGTGGCGCGAAGCACATTTCCAAGTCAAAATGTACAAAACACCTCAGCGTCGGACCACTTTTAGAAGTTGCGATGTCGAAAAGTGAACGCCGTTGTGGCGCGAAGCACATTTCCAAGTCAAAATGTACAAAACACACCAGGTTCGGACAACTTTTGGAAGTTGAGATGTCGAAAAAGTGCACGCCACTGTGGCGCGAAGCAGATTTCCAAGTCAAAAGTGTTAAAAACTGACGGTCTCGGACCACTTTTGGAGGTTCAGATGTCGAAACTGTGTCAAAAAAGTGCACGCCGTTGTGGCGCGAAGCACATTTCGAAGTTAAAAGTGTAAAAAACTGAGGGTTTTGAGCCTTTTTTGACGTGAAGATGTCGAAAAAGTAGACTCTGATTAACTTAACTAACTTGACTAACTTAACTAACTTCACTCAATTAAGTACCCTAACTTCGACGACAACAGCAACAGCAACAGCAACAACAACAACAACAACAACACCAACCACAACAACTACAACTACAACAACAATAGATCGATAGATGGAGAGATACATCGATAGATGTATAGATCGATACATGGAGAGATAGATAGATACATAGAGAGATAGACAGATAGACGGAGAGATAGCTAGAGAGAGAGATAGATAGATAGGTCGATAGATAGATAGATAGGTCGATAGATAGATAGACAGATGGATAGACACATAGATAGGTCGATAGATAGATAGACACATAGATAGATACATAGATAGACGGACAGACAGATCGATAGATAAATAGATAGATCGATAGACGGACAGATAGATAAATAGTTAGAGGGACAGCTAGAGACATAGATGGCGAGACAGACAGATAGATACATGGACACATAGACAGATAGATAGATAAATAGATAGATAGATAGATAGATAGAGAGATAGACAGGTAGACAGCTAGACAAATAGACAGATGAAAAAGAGAGAGAGAGAGAGATCGATAGACAGATAGATACATAGATAGATAGATAGATTGGTAGGTAGGTAGGTAGATAGGCAGAGAAAGCGAGAGAAAGAGTGAGAGAGATCAAGCACCTTTCGGTCCATCAGTCGCTTCGCTCTGCCATCCCTGATTCACAACAACCAACCTCTCCTATAGGTTTCCTATTTTTGAAACTTCCGCCACCGCCTTGTGCGATACTACTGGTATAGTAGAAACTCGCACCTCCCTGTAAGCACGTTGCCCAAATAGTGGTAACAACTATTGGACGAAGAGAAAAAACTGCGACAAACGTTTTCGTGCCGGACTTTTCATTTCTAATCATTTTGCACAAAGATTTCATCGACGTTGCGGTCTGGGCGTTGAATTTTCGGATTGCATTTTGGGAATTTTGGGAATCGCAACATGACCCTAAGGAAGTACTGGCATTCATGGATCGGCACAATGACGCGAACACAAGGACCTGGCAATGCCAGCCCTGGATGAACAAAATTTCCATTTGTTGGGAAGTGTCACCCAAGTCGTGATTTTTTCCTGAAACCCAAGGTGGACTACAAGTGCTGCTCCTGCTTCAGGGACAAGTTGAAATGGTCCCCAATTTTTTGAAGCAACATTTCCCTACAGAAAATTAACACTTTTTTTTGGATCTATAGGCCCTGGGTACTATTGAGGGGGCTGCCCTCACTGCCTCGGATGTCGCACCTCACGCCCTTCATTTCAGAGATGTCCCCCAAAAGTCATTTCGACTCGAAGTTCATGGCTGGGCAGCTCCAAGGAACCTATCCCAAACATGCGCACACACTAGACAAGAAATGGATCATTAGAGTGATCTTTTGGGAACTGAATCCCATCACATGCAATTAGATTAGATGTATACCATGTATACATACATTTATACATATATATATGGGCTTTGGTGGCCACCAGCTGCGACTTAAATGCGGTGCACCACCAAAGCCCAGCAGGTACGTTTACACGGGTCCCGGGGAGGTGTCTTCGTTGATCACCGACCCCCCCGAGACCCCGGTGATCCCCTGCTGTCACAAGATATATATATATAAGATATAATGAAGCGGCGGCGAAGTTTTACGTCTATTCAGACGATTCGCACACACACACACACACCCTGCCAGGGTGGTTTGCATGCAATGAGGTGAAGATGAAGATGAAAAGGGGAATGAACATGAAATGAAAGTGAAAATGAGATGAAAGATTACTTAGCCGGGGCCCGAGGAGGGGAACGCAAAAGAAGAGGGAAGGAGCAAACACCCACACCAACACACCTGGCCCGGAGCGGGCAAACCCTGAAAGGGCAAGGGAAAAGAAAAGCAGAGGCCGACGGACACGGAACAAGACCAGCGGAGGGGGGGACGGAAGCGCCGGAACCAACCTACCACAGCGAAACCTACGCCTACTTAGGCACGCACAGGACCCAACCTACCTGGGGAGGGAAGAACGCATGAAATAGGGGACCGAATGGGGGACTGGTTGATGAAAAGCGAAGAAACAACAGCAATTAATTAAATGGAATCTGTTCTGTCCTAAAAAGTCGTGCGTTACTCCCTCAAGGGGACGGTAGTCGGTCGAGCCACATGGACTTAAAAAGCTGTTCGAGTTCAAACGAATTAGGTGATTTAGGCGCACAATATGTTCAACCTCACCAGAGAACAATCAAAAGAAAGTAGACCACACCTGAAGGCATGAACCTGACACCTTTCATGGATCCTTGCAGTTGTTCTGTCGCTGTGTTGGAATAAGAAAGTTTGTGGCTGTTCCGTGCAGCTTCACTTGAGCAGATTGGAAATTGTCCCAGGGTTCGCAAGGACGGCAGGAGCGGCGAGACGTCATAAAAAAAGTGGTGAGCGGAATGGCCGACTGTTTCGCTTTACTTAGACGAATTACTAAATTAAAATGTGCGAGTTCCGAAGTCCAATCTGTCAACATTCATCGTAAAAAGGGTTCCCTCAAGTGGGTCCATGGCACCATGTCGAAGCCACCATCGAAGTCACAGTAGACAAGAAATGGATCATTAGAGTGATCCGTTGGGAACTGAATCCCATCACATGCAATTAGATTAGTTGTATACATGTATACATATATATATATATGGGCTGTGGTGGCCACCAGCTGCGACTTAAATGCGGCGCACCACCAAAGCCCAGCAGGTACGTTTACACGGGTCCCGGGGAGGTGTCTTCGTTGATCACCGACCCCCGGGACCCCGGTGATCCCCTGCTGTAATAAAAAAGATAAATAAAATATAATGAAGCGGCGGCGAAGTTTTACGTCTATTCAGACCTTACACACACAGTATCAAAACTGTTGGGATGTCCGACGTCTTGACTCATCACTCACCTTCCATGGTGTACGGGAGCAGTCAGCTGCTGCTGGAAGAGGACGTTTGAGGCCTCGTTGCGCTCTTTGGGCCGGCTGTCCGTTGGGGAACACTACAAAGCTGTGGTGGAAGACAATCGCAACCTGGATGGATCAAAAAGTGTGGCGCGGGTTTTTAGTTTTTGCCTCCTCCTGAGTATTGAATCAGGGAGGGAAGGAACATCCCATGAATTTACATAGTGATGAAAATATTCTTTGCCGATTTTTGAATTCCTAGTTTGGTGGCATGTTTTTGTGGCTTGAAAACTGGACCTTCAACGCGACACACCATGGAGCACCAGATCCCCAAGCTGCAGGTTCTGCATCCCCATCGGGCTCTACAGTCTGTTTTTTGAAAAAACGTTGAAAACAGTTGCCAAACCCTCCATGCCAAGGACAAGCGCTGGTCCCAACACACCACCATTCTTGCCGGATGTATACTACGCCATGTAGAATCTCCAACCAAGCCAGGGGTTACCAGATTTCCGCATGATGTTTGTCTCAAGACTTTGATAATAGCTGAATGAGAAGGGGTTTGCACCCCACTTATGAGTCCAATACCCCTAAGGCCCTAAGGACTAAGCAAAAAAATCAACAACTCACGGGGTCAGATGTGGGTGTCCCGTGATCGATGGACCTCTCAGGATTCCATGCTATCCTAAGTGCCTTGGCAGTTGGGTACCTTTTTTGAGAGGTATCCATTTGATCAATTTCGGTCCTCTTTGTTTTGAGTCAAATCTCCATGAGCATGAAGGGCTATACCAGAATTTTTTAATATTCACCAAGGTATCAGTATCTTGACAGACCTGTTTGATGCACAACAAGGTAAACCTAGATGCTTAACATCCATCAAATTCACCTGAAATGGGTGGTAGCTACCATCCCGAGGTTTCACACTGGGGGACCCTTTGGCTCCGGCACCCGGCTGAGGCACCCTTGCAAGCCGCTTGGAGGATTGCGATGCCACGATGTTGTCCAAGATCTCTGATGCCACCGCAAGGCGGATGAAACTCCAGGGCTTGATTTTTTGGGGAAAATGTATTGGAAACCATGAAAGATTCATGAAGGTTTTACCAACCAAATGTATTGAGAAAAAAACATGCTACCCAATACTATCCGAATTTATTGAGAACAAGCTGCTATCCAAATTTGTCAAAATTACTCATCATTTTCCAACGTTCTCTATGTTTGCAGTGAGCAGTGACTCAAAAAATTGTCACATTTTTCAGCCCCACTCCCTTCAACCTACTTTTAACCTCCAAACCAAACCTTTTGGCTTAGTCTTGGACCAACTGATATTCATTGTAAGCATGATCCCCATATTTAGTTCTTAAGTTCCTATTTTTTAACATGTTCCAACAATTGTCATTATTTGCATAGTGTGTCTAAATCTATTTCATGGCATGTCTTAATCTTGGCGCAGAGGTTCCGCAGCTCCACCCCGGAGCTGGCGGACTTGGCGCAGCGCTTGGCGGAGGTGGCGCGGCAACGGGAGGCATGGCCGGCAATAAATTCGGACTTGGTACTGACAGATTTTTTCGGAGTCTTTTAGAAAAAAGATGAATTTGGGATTTTCGTGTTCGGATAAACTGAGTTTGGCTTAAGATTTGATGCTGACATGTGAATACAAATCACGCGCATATGTTCATCTTCGCCACACGTTGTTTTTTTTGGGAAATCAAGTGCATGGAGTGCCCCATCCACTCCGTGACTCGGCAGGATACCTTCAGCCCACGCAATCTGGCGAATGTGGCCATGGCTCTGTCCATGCGCGGTGTCCGGGACGTGCCAACCGTCGAGTTCATCCGGACGCTTGGTTCATTGTGGCTCTTCCAGAGTCTCAAGGCCTCAAGGCATCTTCAACTTCACAATGGACAGCCTGCTTGATCCTCTTTTCCGATTTGGGTGTGTCGCACATGGCATGGCTCAGGAATGAGGCATTGAAGCTGATGGATGACTTGGAACCTGCTGCTTGGACTGTAGACATGAGGGGGCTGGGCAAAATGTTCAGGAACTTATAGGGAATGTCTGGGAAAATTCGCAGATGCAAGACAGAGAGAGAGAGAGAGAGAGGAACAAACACAAGCGGAAAAAACACGCAATAAATTTGAACATGAAGAGGAATTGGAAATTGGACCGAGCCAACACGGCCGGTCAACGGTTACAAGTCTTTTAAGCACAGCTGCAAGTTGCAGTCTAACAAGTAGAATGGGTCACTCACAAGTGGGTGATTGGGGTTACACTGTACTCTTGCATCTCTTTGCCCTGACGATCTAAAATCCCATGAATGTCCTAAAACCGGTTTCCACGGCACCATTCTTCAGGCTCATTGCATTATGCTGCTAGAAGCCTTCCGGCGATGGGGCGTCTTTGATCGACAGCTTGTGGATTTGCTGGTTGAACGCATGTCAGATGAAGTGGATCGATTTACTACGCGAGATTTGGTGCCTTGGATGGGGTATATTAAGACATATTAAGACTAATTAAGATTATGAAGTGCGTTTTGGCACTTGATCGATGACTATCGAGATGCCCCTGGCGCTTCAGCGGAAACCCAAAAATCAGTGGGAAGATGATCAACATAGTGCCACCCCGAGGTGGACGGCTAACAATCCGCTTGCACATGGATTGTCCTTTGCTTACCAGCCATGGTAGCTACGTTTAGTTCACTCAGTGATTGTGTATGGTTGGTTCACCCTGTTATATGGGTGTGTCTGAAAATGTGATATATATATATAATTACCCCCTATTTATGGGTATTTTAGTTGGAAATATGATGATTAAAAATGGATTTAGGGAAGCATATGTTCGGACATGCTCAGATGCTGATATGATATTGTCAATTGTCATCATCATTCACTTTCCTTGGTACACATATTAAATTTAATATTAGTAATAAATATGTATGTCAATGTATAAATAGTTCACGTTTACATCCATTCAGGCTCATGGATTACATATATGGATATATAATGATATATATATATACCGACGGACTGAAAGTTAGAATGACGTTTTGGGAACGCGCGGAAGGAAAAAAAAACGATGCATGGATACATGAAACGCCACATTCTAACTTTGAGACTTCGACCGGATTGTGATTTACAGTTAGAATGCCCCCCTCAGTCCCTGATGCAAGAATGAGAAAAACAGTCAAAACCACCATTTTCCCATGTTTTTCAGAAACTCATTGTACACTTAGAATGTGCCACACCCCCCCAAAACTCCCTAATGTGAAATCTGATTCTCTAGTAAGAAATGGACGGACAATGTTTATCCATTTAAGTGTTACCGCGCACTCACGCACTGCATCGCACAGTGAAATGGCTGGCCATCGACGCCCTTGCTAGCACTGGCTCGTCACGAACAACATGTCCATAACCCTGATGTGTCGCAAAGAGAAACTCACAGAATCATATACAACAATTTTTAAGGGTGTGTTCACCGCCATGTGTTTTGAAGGTGTGAAAACACATGCCATCATGGCATTCTAACAGTTCGGGCGACCCATTGTACTGTTCTGGCGCTGCGCGCCATGGGAATTTCTTTGGATAATTGCGCCAAGGGAAAGCAATTGGTTGGGATATGCTTGCTGAAAAACCGGTATGAATTGTCAAGGTTATACCACCCCAAACCCAACTAAAACTGAGTTTTGCAAACCCACAGTTAGAGTGCCTCAAACCACCGTGGTTCCCGACTAACAGGCAATGAGTTTGTTTAACATTTCGAGGTCAATTATTAATTGAAGAATCAAGAGTGGCCGGCCTGAAACAATGAGATGGCTGACCCCGAGGGGAAACCATTGGTTGGGATGTAGCTGGTAAAAATTCTCTGGGCTTGCAAGCCCATGCAACCTCACACCCAGCTAAAACTGTGTTTTGCAGACCTGCAGTTAGAATGCCTCCAAACACCATCATTCCCCACCAACTTTTAATGAGTTTTTAATGAGTTTTTAAATTAGATTCGCCATGGCACCGGGACCATACAGACCTCAGGTGGACGCCCTGGCCGTAATTTCGCGCCTGGGCTTGGCACGGGGCTTTCTGCTCCGGCGGCTCTGTGGCCTGGCCTTTGAGATGCTTGGCGAGCCACTGGGAGGCTGGAAAGATGAGGATATTTGAGTCGCTTCGCGACGAGTATGGAGATAGATAGATAGATGGATGGATGGATAGATAGATAGATATGTATACATACATATTCACCCACTGTAATTAATGGGTTTGCTGTCATGGGTTTGCTACCCTGTAGTAATCCAACCCCGCGACCGAACATTGTGGATTATGTTTCATATCCTGAAGTGGACTTTTCCATTGCCATGTTGGTGTTTTTCCAGATGCTTCATGTGTGATGCTCAAACCCTCAAAGCACCGGGCGTCCAACGAACAATGCCCCCTCCACGATGCTGTTGAGCCTCCTTGCGGTGCATGTTGAACCCTGGAATTCCCTAGGTGCCAAAATGTTTTGATCATTTGGACCAAAACGTTTTGGCACCAAGGGAATGACAGGGTCCAACATGCAGCGGAGTGGAAATCAAAGTGATGAGTTGAACATAAAGAGGAAATACGGCCATGGCTCACGGTAGCAGCATGGCTCATTTTTTGGGAACAAACCATTTTTCTGGAGAATTTCATGTTTTTTTATTTCTCATATTTTTGCAGGTTGTTGGCCATGATGGCCATGTTGGCCTCGGTGTTTTAAGGTGCCCTGGATTCGAAACTTCCAGTTGCAGTGGCTTGCCCTGGTACTAGCCAGCCTAGTGCTGTGCAGAGGGCTTGGTATCGCTGTTTCATCTTGTCGCCGGGAACATCCCAAATCGATTGTCATCACTCTGCTGCAGCGGAAAATTGGGGCGGGCCACATTCGTCGAGTATAACGACGAGAACTACTGGAGTGTGAACACTGACCGCCATGTGGACAAACAGGTCTGTGTAGATTGATGGGCATCGGCCCTTGGCGGCCCCGAAGAGCATCTCATACAGCCAGAGACAGAGTCGCAGCATGTGAGTGCACACTGGGGGATGCCACAGTGATCAGATGATCAACCGAAGTCTTCGTAGCCGGCAAAGCATGGGTTTTTGGATGTGTCCGGAAGTAAATTTCAGGGTTTCCTGAACCGAAACATCCAAATTTTACTACCAGAAACATCCAAAAACCATCATTTTCCCATCATTTTCCCTTCATTTTCCCATCATTTTCCCTTCATCCCGTTTCGATTTGCCCAGGAACCTGCGGCAGTTTAGTGCCCGGGAGTTGGCCAAGATGTGCTACTCCTTGGCGCGGCTACGCTTCCTGGCCCAGAGTGACTGGGCTCAACATGGCTTGCAGAAAATACATGTTATATATATATATATATGTACTAATCTAATATATATATATATAAATATAGATGTACAAATTGTGAATTCACTCTCTTATATTGGGAGACCCTGTCTACCCTACCACAAGCCCTGCCTGTTTTGTCCTTGACGCATTTGTGTCCGCTCCCTCCCACCGCTGTTGGTGGAGATATGTAGCGGTCAGTTCGGACGGAGGCGAATGGAATGCATGAGATCACATGACAACTGGACCTTTCACACTGGTCTAAAATCAAAACTTTTTTGTTAAAAAAAATTTAAGACAGTGACTCACCATCAGTTGTCTGTTTTGCATTTCCATCGCCACGCAGCCAACGTAATTTGTCCCTTTTGGTGGCTCTCTGACGTAGAGTTTCAGATTCATCAAACAATGAATACCTACCAGTTCGCAAACACTCCCTGAGTAACCCCGTCTCCATACTCTTAGTAAGCGAATCAGCCAACATTGCCTGTGAGTTTATCCACCTAAGGGACATATTTTCTTGCAGTCGCTCTCGAATTAAAAGACATTCCAACAAGGTTCTGTATTCATGACATGCCGGCGTTGCGTTCTTTGTTGCTACATCATAGACAGATTTACAATCAGTCACTGCATTGCACATTGGTGCTCTTTTGAGGATCTCTTCTGGTTTGGTCCAATCAACATCGGGGCTCTTCAACCACTCCCAAAGTATCCGAATATAGTTCAACCTATCCAACGTGCTGCTTAAAGCAATGGCCTCTGCTGTTAAAGTGGATGTCACGACCCTTGGGATCTTTCTTGAGCTCCAGGCCATTGGGCAAACCACTGTCCATCTGTTTTGAGACATGTGCTGATCTGTTGCAAAGATCAATGTCCCTTGTCGAGAGGACAGGTTGGAAGCCGTTGAAAAGGATGCATCGGAGAATGCACAGAATGTCAGATCTCTGACTGGAATGGGAACTATCAACAAACACACATGATGCTTCTTCCCTTCATAAAGAACCTTGTTCCCCTCCAAAAGATCCTTTACCTGTCCCTTCGGGATACAAGCTTGAAGTTGACCCACTTTTGCACAGAGATCTGGTCTAGTGTGCACCGCGGCGAATTGAAGGCTTCCGCAAAGTCCACGGAGACACTGTTTTTCAGTGTCTGTCAGATCTGCTTCCGGGGTCGCTCTACGGGTCTTTGGGACATTTATGGGTTCAATTCGATTCATGTATTCCTTCTGATCAAGTTCTATGGTGCCATCATCCCACTGCTTGTAGTGAACCCCACAGAATTCAAATTCATGTTCGTTGTATGCCCCAAAACTGAATTTTTCTTTGAGCTGTTGGAGGATTCCTTTAAAGTAGTCATCTCCACCCCCGATGCCATCATCTACATGGATTCCCAAGATTCCCCTGACAACTGGGCGACCATTTGGACCTTCAGTGACCAATGAAAACAAACAACCATCAAAAGGACAAACAACAAAACCCAAAGATTCCAAAACCCTTCTCAATTCCTTATACCATAAATAAGGAGCATCCACCCGTCCATAAGCTCCACCCTTCAATAAACACTGGTCACTTCCCCCATGTTCATTGCCCTCTTAAGTTCTTCAGGGGGATATATGCCCAATGGTCGTCCATCGCCCTGACCCTTGAGAAATGCGGTGGATATGTCAAAGTTCAGAAGGTCCCAGCGTCGGCTGGCCACCAGCTGTAGAAGGAGCTGTCTGCCGTCTTTTGACAAAGTGGGTGCATCCCGGGGTACCTCTGAAATGTCGGGGTCCTCAAATCCCAACACTACCAAACGGGCCTTCGCTCGGCGTTCAGTTCCTCCTACTTCTGGTGCCTTCCATGTGAGAATCCAGCGGCATCGCATAATTTGGTCGGAACGGAGAGTACCACGTGTGACCTTTTGGACAGTGCCATGATCGATCCATGCCTTTATCTCTTTGTTCTTGGCAGCATCAAACAACTCCTGCTCACCAGAACCTAGATCCCTGTATTTGACCTCAACCTTTTGTTTCCTGGCAGTGGACGCTATCATGACCTGTTCTGCAAAGAACACGTGAATTTGCTCAGAGCTCACTTCGGAATGATTGGATTGTTTGTCATTCCAATGGCTCTCACCAAAATTGATTTCCCAGACTCCAAGTTTTTCGGAAGGTGGTTCCAAATCATCCCCAAAAGCAAACAAACCATCTTCTTCATCAGGTACAGGTATCTCATGAGGTTCCAAATCCTTCTCCCCTGTATCCCCTACATCTTTTCCTTCATCTGGGTCACCAGAGGTGAGCGATTCCGGTGGAAACATCTCATTTTCCGGTTGTGAATTTTCTTGGCCATTTGACATGCTCACACCTACTGAGGGAGAATATCCTTCTGATTCTTCGGGGTTGCCCGCTACCACACCTGGAAAACTTTCTGGGTCATCCCCCAAACTTAGAAAACCCCTCCCCTGAGGTATCTCGTCCATGACATTGCCATCAACTCCCTTGGGTAGGTGCTGATACTCTCGTAGTGACGCAGGTCGCAACTGTTCTGGACTGGCCCTGATGAGACGGCCCAAATGACTCAACCAAACAACTTTCTTGCCCTCTATGACTATCACTTGAGCAGGCCCATGCCAACGCCCTCGCTCTAGCCTAGAATTAGTTTTGGCCTTTCTCCAGTACAGCACCCAGTCACCAGCCATGAAATCAATTACACCTGGCCTGTTTCGACGCAGCAAGGCTCTTCTGAAAGCCGAGTCGTTGTCAGCCTGTACAAAGGCTCTGCGAGCCACTTCCCTGCGTTGGAGGCTTTCTCGAAACCACATTCCCTCCGGGCAATCACTATCAGCCAATACGTGACTACCTACTTCCTCATCGGATGTCAGGGAAGCTGGCAAAGCTTTGGACTTTCCCAAGAGGCATTGTTCTGGTGTGAAGCCATGGATTCTACTCAAAGAGTTCTTTGCAGCAAAAGCCTGACGCAAGTTCTTCTGAAAATCACTAGCTGAACACACTGGGACCTCCTTGTCCATGCGACTCAACATCTCTTTGATTATTCTCCCATGCACCTCACACCGACCATTTTGCCAGTGAGCTTCAGCGGCCGTCATCGAGGCTTTAATGCCCTCAGACTGAAGGTACCTTGCCCATTCATCGCTGTTATATTCGCCCGCAGGGTCAAGATACAGCAAACGGCATGGTCCGGCCCATTGTGTCCAGGCTATTTCAAAGGCTTGGACTTGTGCCTCAAAATGACGGTCACTTGGAACCCCAACATGATACATGGTTGCCTCATCAATAAAGTGCATAAAGTGGTATTGAACCCCACCAGAACTCGTCCAATAAGCCCCATCACAACCAACAACATCGTTGAAATCAAGGTTCCCATGAATTCTTGAGGGTCGAGACAACTTGGGTTTTCCTTGAGACTCAAGGCATGTATCGCATTGCATGTCGGCCGCTGCCTGGATGATTTCAGGTTTAGCACCTCTCTCACGAAGAAATTTTACCATCTTACTGGCATCAGGATGTCCCAAATTCTGATGAAGACGCTTCAAATCCCTTTTCTCTCCAGCATCTAGTCTTAGAAAATTGGGACCAGATTTGGGAATAATTCGGGGTGCCCATCCTTCTTCATGACGATGTGCTTCACTTGAAACATCTTCCATGGCTAAGTCCTCCAGACTTTCGGTGATTTTGGGATCATGTCCGAAGGATCCCAATGTTTCCCCGGGGCCAGTTGCATTTAAAGCAGGTGATGGAATGTCAGATTCCGCCACTTTGGGCTCTGCACTGCGCATCATGTTGGCTTCATTGCCATGACGCTCACGAGAGTAGCCAAAAACAGTCAAAGAGATCTTGGCTGGCCCTGTCTTTCGTATTTGTTTCAACTTGGGAAGTGCTAGCCATTTCTCCATAGGCCCTGTAACCCTTACTTCCCCACTACCCCGATCAACAAGGATGGTCTTCCTCCAGGGATACTTTTCCATACCAGGGCCACTTGCCAACACTCTATGACGGTCAGTGCCCCTGCAAGCAACCATGATTTTAATTTCCATTTCAGGCACCAACTGTTGAACCAAACCAGTAACCATCTCTCCTTCCCCAAAGTAGTGGTTTCCAACCCTAGGGGTCTGATACCCAACAGTCCTAAAAACAGCTTCCCAAGTCGGTGCACGACCATACATGGATGTTTCTGGTTGCTTGTCGTAGACACGACGACGCTTTTGCAGCTGCAGTGCCTCTGGTGCCATCTCGGGTTCCTCATGTCCTTCCAAACCAAGGATCATTTCCTCAACCAACAACGGTTTTTCAGGGATTCCAGTTCGGCATATTATCTTGGCCACCTGTCGTGCGAACACCCCCGTATATGCCTTTGCATAACTTGACACACTTTCCCATTTCCCGTTGATTTTGGTCTTCCCCTCTATGTGGTCATGTGCATGTTCCCCTTTACAAACCCTTTGATGCAACCCTTCAAACATACTGCGGCTTGTGGTATGCACACATGTCTTCTTTTGGAGGTATTTTTCATGATTTGGAAGCCTGAGTTTACCGACCTGGCACATATCAAACGTGGCTTGCAATGTTCCCATCTTAGTGTCACTCAAATCAGGTTGATCTATCATCTCCGAACCATGAGGCTGTTCTAAATGGAAATGACGATTTAAACCCACTTGGTGAAGATATATGTCATTGCACAATTGTAGATGGCATCGTTCCTGTTGTCTTTCCAACTGGATTTTCTCAAACATGGATGTCCCTCTTCCCATGTTAAACCGAGAGAACATTCCCCACAATCGACAATCGGGTGCTACCCAAATATGGAGTGGTTCATACAACATGATCCATGTCCATAACTTTTGAACCCCATCAGCTGTGGAAAGATCCCCATCCGTCCTACTAAAACGTATGGCACATCCTCCCCTGGCATTGACTTGATTTGACAGTTGAGAATTGGGTTCACAATAAACTTCCAATAAATCAACCTGTGGTCCGTGGGAACTAAGATGTTGCCTGCTATTCACCCCAGCTTCGGTCTTTCGAATCCCCTTTTTCCGATCATTCTCCCAAACATGTAAGATCTGTTCAATCTCCATGGTCCTTTGTTTGATTGCTTCATGGATTTTTAATTCCTCTTGTGGTTTCAGACCTTTCAGGGGTCCATCGCTCATAATATGAGCAACTTCTTGATCCAGTGGATTCAGGCCGTTTCGGCCATCTCCTTGGATTGGCCACTGGAACTGGACCTTTCGGTCTCCCGGGCAAGCTCGCGTTGGAGCACAGCGATCTTGGTTTGTAAATCTGTGATCTTGTCCTGGTTCTTCTCGATATTCATCCCGGACTTCTCCTCGCTGGCTGATCGTTTGAGCTCTCTCTTCTTGCTTGTTCCCACTTCCGCCGGTGTCCGTGGACAATGGACTGCGGCCCACTCCTGGTTGATCTCTGTTGTCGCCCTTGGTTGAATCGGCATCTGCTGTTGTCTCTCGGCCTGCAGATTGCGATTGATAATCTCGTTGCGAGCCCTGGCATACATCTGGAAACTGCGGACCCAGGCTGACACTCCTCGTCTGTTCCTCAGTTGAAAAACATAGTTGGGATCCTGGTCGAAGATCTCCTGGAATGTCTTGCCCGGGTGCTTTCCCGAAGGAGCATGTATCTTGCCCCATTCCTCCAGTGTTGTGACACCTGGAGGTTTCCTGATCTCTCCATCCTGATTGTGAATCTCCTTGAACTCGAGAGATTCGTCCACCGGGAGTTGCAGTTCCGTGGTCAGATATGGTTGACTCTTTTCCCCTGCCATGGGTCACAGTCGAATCGAATTGAAAGGTCTTCTGATCACTTTGATCCAAATCTACAGGAAGTGATGGTTCTTCACATGTCAGAACCCTGCTCTTTGGATATTGACCGGAATCAGTTTGGGAATCTTGGAACCTAACATCTTGGACATGACCTGTTCTCGTGGACCCTGCCTGGCATGTTTTCCCTCGCTGGAAATGTTCATTATCCTTTGGTGGATATGAGGTAACTTCCGGACTCTCATGTTTTATCCCTTCCGTTTGCATGATGGTTTCTTCTGGGGTTCCTACATTTTGGGATGGTGGTGATTCCATCAAAAGTTCAACCACTTTGACTCCTAAAAGATTCCTGCGACATGGGTGAAGTCTGATTTCATGGTCATGACCTTTGAACCTGAGCCTTTTCCCGTCTACATCTACAATCCCCTTGAGTCCCTTAAGGATTGAGTTGCTGATTAAGAACGGAGTTTGACCCGGCACCACCTCAACACGGATCCAGCCATTTTGACTTCGAGGAAGCAAAAGTGCATACTGACTGGTCAACTTGGCTGAGTTCCCAAATTTGAAAGTAACACCAGAGGTCTGGGCCCGATAAACCAACTTCCTCAAATGTGGGGGTAATGACTGAATCATGCCCTGAACACGGTTCTCCCCAATCACGGCCCGACTTGCCCCTGTATCTATTATGGCATCACCATCTGCTTCCTCGGAATTAAAAAGGCAGGTTGCCTCAGAAAAACGGAGTTTTGAATTTGACTCCGCACCGAGCCCTGCATCTGTGCTGGCTGATCCGTCAAGGTCAGGCACTGCGGCTGCTTCATCGCGCACTGGAGAAAAGTGCTTCCTACAGCATTGGTGCAAATTGGCTGCGAGTTGATTTGAAAAGTTGGAAACCGTTGCAACAAAACATTCAACTTCAGATGATGATTCTCTTGAATTTTCCAAGTTGGGAGATTTGATTGACAAAACTTGGGAACAAGCGGAGGATTTAAAATCAAAGTTGATGTGTTCTTGAAAGTTCAAATTGAAAGTGTTGTGAAACAATTGACCTACAGTCTTCGATTCCGCCTGGTCCTCCCCGTCCTGGTCAAAGAGCTCAGCATCCTCAGGCAGAGTCGTCAAGACATCCTGTATGGCGGTGACATCCTCCGTGGCATCATCCATTGAAACCCCCGTGAAGGCCGTCTTGTCCTTGGAAGTCTCGGAATTGTTCAAAGGGCATTCGCGACGCCAGTGGCCTGGTTGTCCACAGCGCCTGCACGTGGAATTGGCGATTCTTTCCGCCAAGCTTCTCCTCTTGACATTGATCGCCATGGAAGAGCCATATGATCCACCTCCATAGCCCTTCCCCTTTTTTCCTCGTCCCTTTCCTTTGTTCCCAGACTTCAAGGGCCAATAGCCTCTCGTTCTTACCTTTTCACGAAGCCGATCTCGTGCCTCTTGATATGCCGTGAAGCATGATGACAATTCTTGACTGTCCTGGCAAGTCAAGATCACCTGCTCTTCAAAGTCTTGAATGAAGCTGGCATCCTCATCACCCTCGTCCAGCATAGCTTGAAGGATGGTTTCCTCATCAGCTTCTGGTTCTGCCATAGTATAGTTGGCCACTTCTTCATTTTCCTCCATGTGATGGATGTCATAGGTCTTTTGGCGATTGCCCCCTTTTCCAGTCCCTTGTAAGTCCTGGAAAAACTTGGATCCCAGCAATCGGATGCTTCTTCGAGCGTCCTCATATTTGAGACGACCACCACCTTCCATGATGATCTTCTTCCTGTCCTCTGAGCTCAGAGTGCTTTGGCGAACAAGCACGTAGGCTCGGAATTCATCGATCTGCACCTTCTTGGTCACCAGGTCCTCGAAGGAGATGTCATGTCTGTTGAGATAGCTATCATTGGTCTCATCAGCCTTCTGAATTGTTCCATAAAGGGCTCTCTCGAAGAGATCGTATCGATCCTCTTCTTCGAGCCGACCCCATTGGCCACCTAAGGCTTCCACCAAGTAGCGCACTCCATCGTGCGTCCTCAGCTTCTCCGTCGACAGTCGAGCGACCTTTTGAAAGGCAACTCCATCCACCTGCAAGGCCGCTCTGGGTGCCAAATGGGCTATGTGCTCTTCTGGCCACAGATCTCGTATGAATTCCAGCTTCCTGGCGTAGTTCCTCAGGTCTGTCACCCCTGGTTCAAACCGAGGTATCTGATGCCAAGGAAGGGAAGAGGACGGCAACGAATTTCCCCCGGATCCCGCTGCTTCCGCGGTAGCAGCTGCACTTGCCATGGCTCAGCACTGTCCTACAGGCTGTGAGTTTTTGTTGTTTGTGGAACCCTGTCTCACTAGTTACGGCGGCAGCCCTAGGGCTCCGCTACCAATGTGAATTCACTCTCTTATATTGGGAGACCCTGTCTACCCTACCACAAGCCCTGCCTGTTTTGTCCTTGACGCATTTGTGTCCGCTCCCTCCCACCGCTGTTGGTGGAGATATGTAGCGGTCAGTTCGGACGGAGGCGAATGGAATGCATGAGATCACATGACAACTGGACCTTTCACAACAAATATATAAATATATAGATGTATAAATATATAAATACATATATATATATACATACATATATATATATATATTACATATATATATATATATATTCATTTAAAGATATATAAATATATTAAAAAAACAATTGTATATATATATATATTTAAATAGATATATAGATATATAGATATATAAATATAAAAATAAATAAATAAATATATATATATATATAAATATATATATTCAAATATAAACAATATATACATAGGTGTGACACACACACATATGTATGTATGTATGTATGTAATGTAATGTAATGTATGCAATGCAATGCAATGCAATGCCATGCCATGCCATGCAATGCAATGCAATGTAATGTAATGTAATGTATGTATGTATATTTATATATATATATACACATATACAGGCCGAAACACGGATATGTTTTTGTTTTAATGTATACATGACATAAGTAATATGACGTATGTATAGTGTAGGCATCAATACTTACGTCTGACTTATATAATTGGTTTCCTCAAGACCTGGACGAGGCAACGTGGATGATTTGGTGGAGGCCATGCGGCCGGAAATGGAACGACTGGTTGGCTCCCAAATCTCAGAGTTTCTGCTGCTGGTCACTGCTGGTCCCAAAAAGCGGTGTTTTTTTTGCTGAATGTTTGGATTGGTGGGCTATTTGTGCTAGGGTTAGTCCAATTATATTGGGGGTCAGAATTGCACCTCAGAAATAGAGTTGCTTGTAGCCACTCATGTTAAATTTAGGGTCTATCGGATATTTCTTTTTCCCTAGCTAAGCTATGACTGGAGGAACATGTTTTTCCTGAACAATAATGATCGACCAGCCAATCTGTGCGTTTTCAGGGTCTCAGGATGTGTGATGAAACTGCCAGGGCCATGCAGTTTGTCAAAAAAGTGGGGATGCCCAAAGATCTTTTTATGGGAAGCATGACGATAAACCGATGGGAATCATATATATATAATATTATGATAGAATCGGGGCTCAACTTGAGGTTTGCCCTCGCGATGGTCAATGCTAGACACCAGCTGGACACGGCCCGCATCCTTGCCGCTCAATATGTCGATGCTTGGTAGCAAACTGTTTCTGACAGTTGCCTTGGCTGATACTGTATCCGTCGCATCCAGCAATGGCGTCCAGGTCTAGAAACAGCTATGTTTCAGCATGTTTCACCACTACATCCAGTCACCTTGAAACAGGACAGTATCGGAGGCATTCCCAAGATGAGTGGCGGCTCCCTCATTGACTATGCTTGGTCCCTGGTCGCTCTGGATTTGGTCAGGGAGTTTGAAAATGACTTCTCCGAAGCGCTGAAGGAAACCTTCACAAGGACCGCTTGTCATCCCTCCAGGGTTGGTCTGAAAATTTTGGAAAGCCTAAAAACCAACAATTATTCCAGCGCATGGTTTAAGTTAAGAACATCATCACATCCCGTGTTGCTTTTGCTGTCAAACGTGGAGTATTCTGCTATTTCCATACTAGTTCCTATTTTGAGGGACAAACCCATGAGGGTGCCGAGAATGCTTGAGATTTGGAGATGACCAGGATGCTGTGGGTTTTGTTGCCGAATTTGGATGCAGGAACCCTCCGCAGAACCGTACACCTTTATTGAAATTATTTGCGCCTTTGCTTGCAAATAGTGCGGCTGACTGAACTTTGTTGCTCGGGATTTCATGGATGCCGACGCCTGTTTGGATCAACTTCCTTGGAAGGGTATTAGGATGCTTGATATCACTGTACTGATATCACCTTTAAACTTTCATGAGTTGACTTCTGGTGCTCTTCGCAGGTTGGTGTTCTTGTATGTTCTTGTTACTTTCTTCTCCCCTTTGGCCCTTTGGGTTTCTGCTGAAGAAACTCATGCGCGCCTCAGTTCTCAGGACGTGATTTGTGCACTCGAGCTGGAGTACAAGGATCTGAATATCCCGGTGGCTTCCAGCTGGAAAGCTGCTTGCGATGATGCCGTTGCTTGACTTCGAACGAGTTCCAGACAGAAGAAGGTTCGTGACAGGCCAGTGAGTAATTCAAGCCATTATAGTGACTACAGTGCCTGATCTAGCTTAATCTTTTGTTTCGGTTTGAATGATTCGATAGGGGCCAGGCCTCCGGCTCATTTAATGCCAATCTTTTCGCTTTCCGTTTCAACTCACAACTTTTTGATCTGGTGAATAAATCATTGAATCATTGAACAAAACCCTCTCAGGTGCTTGATGATGGTCGGATTATGTTGGATCATGTTGGATCATGACTCTGGATACCGTTTGGTATCCAAACACAGTGTTTTTCCCATTTGCATGCCACAATTTCCCATTTATGAGGATCTTGCTTTATTAACATAGACATATTTTTGACGGGGATTTCCCAATTCTCCTTGTGCTATGTGGTGCTGAGGATCGTTATGAGATGGATCGCCTAGAGTCTTCCAGACTCCACAATGAGGTGATGATGCGCTTCGATCAGTTGCGGGGCTCCAGCAATGGCGTCCGATGGAAGTTGCAAATGCCACCGGGCCTTCGGTGGTGCTCCCCCAATGGTGGTGGTTTCCAGCCCGGTCCGGTAGAAATGGTTTGATGGAAATCAACTTGAAAAGATGAACCTGAAAATTTGATATAGAGAATGAGTTGCTTTGGAAGATGGTATTTTGCAAATGCTGGAGTGGTAATACTGTAATGGAAATCTGCGGATCCCCACTAGAATGAAAGCAATTATATCCTACACACGAACCTGTGAATGACTGTGATCAGCCCTCCAGATAGCTATCGTGGGGGGAAGTCACCGTTCTTTATCGCGCAAGCATCTAAACATAGGTCAGCTTCCCCTGCAAGTCAGGTCCCCAGAGGTTAGTCTTGAAAGAACGAATAGTTAGATAGTTAAGAGTATTGTGTCGGATGAGTGCTTTTCGGTGCTGGAATTTGGAAACCGTGGCAGTTTTCTCGGCAAGGTCTTCAACGCCTCGACATGGGGTAATTCCGCTGTTGGACTTTGCAGCTGAGGCAAAGGAACTCCAGCTGTGGACCTTATCGGGTGGACATGCTGGATCAAGAGACAAAGATCCCTGACAGCACTGGCAGCTGGATCCATGCATTTCTTGTGTCACCTGGGGCGTGTTTTCCAGCTGTAAGGTCTTACCAAAAGTACGTCAGAGTCGCTAGCCTTGTCCAGATTAAAAGTCCTGACTGAGGCTAGCCGTTGATTTGGAGATTGTGAGTTGGCCCACGGCACGTCATGTGAAACATCGGCTACTTGAAGCTCAGGGCTACCGCATGGTGAACCTTCAGTATTGGGATTGGCGCCGCGCCAGGACCGAGGAGGATCAAAACCTCTTCCTGGAGCGCGAGGTCACACGCGTGCTGGAGTCCAACCCGCTGCCAGCTTCAGAGAAGCTGATCGAATGAGCAGATCCGATTCGGTTGGAGGAAAAAAAAGAGATCCGAAGACTGCGAGAGGTTTTTCCACATGCGGAGCATGGGGGGAGCCTGGGGGGATGGTTCTGTGAAGCAGTTGGTGCTTGCGTGTCTCCGGGCCAATTGCTGAAACTACGGGTATAAATATAGAGTGCCATCGTGGTTCATAAGATTGGGCAGATTGGGGTAGGGGCTCCTGAGCCCTCATGGGTGCCCTTCGACTTTGCTGCATTGAAAACAGACTTCCGTGCCGGGTGTGGCCAAGCCTCAGCATAATGTTCGCAGCAGTTCGACACTGAAACCCAGCCAGTTGAGCAAGTTACAAGCTGTCGGCTTGTTTCTGTCAGTAGGACTTGCACTTGACTGATTGAATCAGTGCGTTTCTTATTTTGGTATGTAGTTTTAGGTTTCAGTGAGCCAAGTGGCCCCTGGAACAGTACAGGTTCTTTTGGGGTGTTGGGGTGCACATTCTCCTTGCCCAGCAGGATATGAACCAGCTGCTCACAAGCTTTGTGATTATAACTGTGCCAAAACCAGCCACTGATGGAGCCATGACTCTCGCTGCCACGTTGCCGGTGGCAAGGCACACCATGTGTCAGCTTTGGTGATTCAGTGTGATGCCCCTGGCAGCTGTGCCGATGAGCACAGCTGGCCATGGGTGGGGTGAAATGGCATGACACCATCAAGTCGCTGGAGGGCTGCACCCTGGATGGACAACCGGTTCCCTTGAGATCCGTCAATTTGGCCCTGCGAACCGAAAAGCGTTGGGCTCGAAGTTTGGAGCTGCTGCAACGCCTTCATGTTGCTTGGGCCAATTTCTGGCTATTGAATTGTTCCTTCCTGTGAGGAATAGCATAATTTCCTCTTCCCCCAAATTAGCCAAATGTTGAATGCTAAATTTATGTTCACCCCTATAGCTTCTCCTGATGATTTTTAAATTTGAAAAAAAAAGCAAAAAAAAGAAAACAAATGGAACATCAAAAAGCAAAACTTCAAAACTGAAAAAAACAGGAAGCAAAAAACTGGGAAAAAAAGGAACCCCAAAAAGGGGGAAAAAATGGATTTGTCCATTTGCATCTTTTTTGCATTTATTTTGCTTTTTCGATTTGCTGTTCTTTGCTTTTGTTTTGCTTTTTTTTTTCTTCTTGCCTGGAAAAAAGCCAAAAAAAAGCAAAACAAACAAAAACAAAGCAAAACAAAAACACAAAAAAGCAAATCGAAAAAGCAAAATAAATGCAAAAAAATGCAAATGGACAAGTCCTTTTTTCCCATTTTTTCACCCTTTTTGTCTTTCCTTTTTTTCCCTTTTATTTTGCTTTTGTGTTTTTTGGATTTTGCTGATTTACTTTTTTTTTTTGTTTTTTCGCCTTTTTTTTCAAGTTTTAAAAAAGTTAGAATAAGCTATGGTCTGGCTGACATAATGCTAAATATTAAGGGAGGGCTAATTATTTTAGGATTTTTTTTTTGATCAGGTTTAGGAATTATTTTTGGATTCCTGCTTCTCTGCTTTTCCTGCTTCTCTGCTTTCCTGCTTTTCCTGCTTTTCCTGCTTTTCCTGCTTTTCCTGCTTCTCTGCTTTTCTGCTTTTTTGCTTTTCTGCTTCTCCTGCTTCTCGCCTTTTCTGCTTTTTTGCTTTTCTGCTTCTCCTGCTTCTCTGCTTCTCTGCTTTTCTGCTTTTTTGCTTTTCTGTTTTTCCTGTTTCTTTGCTTCTCTGCTTTTCCTGCTTTTCCTGCTTCTCTGCTTTTCTGCTTTTCCTGCTTCTTTGCCTTTCTGCTGTTTTGCTTTTGTGCGTTTCCTTTGTTTCTTTGCTTCTCTGCTTTTTTTTTTTTGCTTTGCCTGCTTTAAATACTTGATTTTCATGTAAGATGCATTTTGCACAGTATTTACATCCCTGAGTATCACATGACCAACCTTCTCTTGAAAACTTGCAACGTAACATGTGAGAAGAGGTGCTTGCATTCTGCTTTGGGGGGAGGCGCTGCGCCCTCCCCCAATCCCCCCCTCCCGTTTTTTTTTATTTAAACTTAAACCCAAGTTACATTAGTTGGTTTTTGCGAACTAACCTTCTCTGGAAAGCTGACAGGATTACATGTGATAGATAAAGATAGATAGATAGATAGATAGATAGCTGGATAGATAGATAGCTTGGTAGATAGATAGCTAGATAGATAGATAGCCAGCTAGATAGATAGATAGCTAGAGAGATAGATAGCTAGATACCTCGATAGATAGATGGCTAGATAGATAGCTAGATAGATAGATGGCTAGATAGATAGCTAGATAGATAGATAGATAGCTAGCTAGATAGATAAAGAGGTAGCTAGATAGATAGCTAGATAGATAGATAGATAGATAGCTAAATAGATAGGTAGATAGTTAGCTAGATAGATAGATAGCTAGATAGATAGCTCGATAGCTAGAAAGCTGGATAGACAGCTAGATATCTAGATAGCTAGATAGATAGTTAGCTAGATAGCTCGATAGCTAGATAGCTGGATAGACAGCTGGATGGCTAGATAGATAGATAGCTAGATAGCTGGATAGACAGCTGGATGGCTAGATAGATAGATAGCTAGATAGATAGAAAGCTAGATAGCTAGATAGCTAGCTAGATAGTTAGCTAGAAAGCTAGATAGGTAGATAGATAGCTAGCAAGATAGCTAGCTAGATAGGTAGATAGATAGCTAGATGGATAGATAGCTTGCTAGATAGATAGCTAGCTTGCTAGATAGATGGCTAGCTAGATAGCTAGATAGCTAGCTAGCTGGATAGATAGCTAGCGCCCTCCCTCAATCCCCCCCACCCGCTTTTTATCTAATCCCAAGCTTCCGCATCTGTAAATATTTGGGTGAACATGCTCACATGTAGAACGTCCCATGCAAAATGGAAGGTGAACATGCCAAAATGTGGCAAATACCATACAAAATGGAAGGTGAACATGCCCACATGTAGGAAATCCCATGCAAAATGGAAGGTGAACATGCCAAAATGTGGCAAATACCGTACAAAATGGAAGGTGAACATGCCCACATGTAGTAAATCCCATGCAAAATGGAAGGTGAACATGCCCAAATGTGGCAAATACCATGCAAAATGACAAATTCAAGTTCCAAACCGTTGCAAACACTAGGCAAATGGTACCAGCCAAGAAATCCAAAAAAAATTCCCAAACCTGCTCAAAAAAAAATTCCTAAAACTATTTCACACCCAATATTAAGCACACACCCCAAGAAACCATCGTTTAGTACAGTATTGGCTCTATATTAGTTTTGAGATCCTTCGGGGTATTGAATATGATCGGGCGGTTTAGTTAAGTGGAACCCACTTATAGGATGTTTGGTGAAATCTCCAAAAAATTGGTTGACATGGTTGGTGGAATCCCCATGCATCCCATGATCTCCCCATTTTTTGGCTGGTGAACCATCCATGGCCACGCCATGGAGGCTTGGCGCCTGCGTGGTGACACGGTGACCCTCAACAGCTGCCTGCGGAGTTGGCCCTGGCGGCGAGGTATGGCCATGATGGCCACATCGCAGGTGGGATCCATTGGGATCTGGGACGGGCCAAAGCAACAAGTTTTGGGGTTGGGACCAGATCAAGGATTGTACAATCATTTTTTTAAATAGATCTTTGAGGAACTTTTTTTTTTTAAACACAGTGATTGAACACTTTGGGGATTCGCCAACATTGGATGAGGTTGATTAGTTTGGGGTTGATGATAACCACAAAAGATTGGATTGAACATTTGGCATGGAACGGAGAAAGTTACGCGAATCTGTTGGCAATTTGGATTGGCGAAGCGACTGGGAGCATGAATGGGCTCAGCACCCCATACTAAGTACTAGTGCTGAACGACTGAACGATGATATTTTCGAAGCTCTTGAGGTATCAGAAACAGGTGGATTGATTTTTTGCCTGTTGCCTTTGACCTTAAAAAATGACGCCAGCATCAGATTGTAGGTCATTATGATTCATTATGTAGGTTGCTGAAGTACTTGGACTTTGCTTCTCACCAGGTGGACGTGATCACATGCAACACTGGCATCGCTGAAATTGGCCCCTGGCCTGGGACCTTGGTGATGTTCGACAGCTTTCAGCGCAGCATGGTGCAGGCGGGGAATAGATCAACCCCACAATGCACATTGAGCAGGTTCGATGGAAGAACACGTGTGTGGTGTGTGTGTGTGTGTGCATGTTTGTGTGTAATGTGGGCTAATAGACCTGCAATTTGTCCATCAATTCATCCTTTAGCGTGGAGTAGTTTTTCCAGAAGGGTGCTTGCAATTTGGGGATGATTTGTACTCCCTATGGTCCCTATGTATATATGTATATAGATAGATTTTGTTTGGGTCACATCAGTTCGATCTGCTCCGATGCATGAGAGAGTTTGTGGTGTCCTGGTCCCGTTGTGAAGGCCGACACCATCACCTTCAATTCCTTGCTGAGCCGAGTTTGGACGCTAGCAGGGTGCCTCCTTCACATGCGAGGTCTGCTGAAATGCAATGCCTTTGACGGGATGATTGGGGCCCCAAGAAGCTCATTCTAAAGTTGACTTCGTAGAAGGACAGAGGTGCCACAGCCACCCCAGTGCCCATAGATGCCACTTTCCAACATGTGCAGGTCGTTCTCTGGAGACCAATGTGGTCTCCTACAATGCCAGCATCCACGCGTCCGAAGGAGGGTGCTGAGTGATAGGCTTAGCCGCCTAGCCTCTCATTTGCAGATTTCAGTGGTTCAATATGTTCAATGGGGGTTTGCATCAGGAGATTGGCGAAAGTCCCTGGACTTCCTGCGGCAGATGCTTCGGGAAGGCCTGGCTGACATCATCAGCTTCGGCAGTGGCATCTCTGGCTGTGGCCGCTCAGAGCTAAAGGGATATCGATATCAGGGTAGAATTCCATAGAATTGCTAGGGGAAACAAAAATAAGTGGAAAACCTATGGTTTCCCTAGGAAATTGATCTACAACTGGTGGGTTCTCTTCATCTATAGAATCATGTAAAATCTATGTTTGTTAGTTTAAAGGGCTGTACTTCCTGGCAACTGGGCCAAGGCAAGGCCACCCAGTGGCAGGGTGCCATTCACCTCTTGGCCGCGCTCCCTTCCCAACGCCTGGCAGTGAGTGCTGTTGCCATGAACTCCGCCATTGCGGCCGGGTGTCTTGAACTGAACATGCTGAGGAGATCTGGGAATCTGGGGAGAATCAAACCCTTTCGTTGAAGTCTTTTCGACTGTTGAGCTGTCCAGGCGAAAATGGATTGCAACCCTCAAGGTTCAAGCTTTTCATTGATCATTGCCAATTGGCTTCGGGTGCCAAGATCGGGTATCCTCAAAACGGGATCTTGCTAGATATCCGACTTATTCGTTTCCACAAGACATGCCGCTAAAAAGCCTACCCCGCATCAAAAACGTTGGGGGCTGTTTCAAATGGGGTACCCCATGTTTGATAGTTGTCCTATTTTTCCCATGAACTAGCAACTTTGGTACCCCATTTTTGGACAGACCCGAGGCCCTGGCACTGCTCCACTAGCTTGCTCCGCAAGGGCAGAAGTGCCACCGTGGTGTCGTACAACGCCCTGGCGGCTGCGTGCGAGCAACACGGCTCAGGTGAAATGGGCAGGGAAGTTGTGGGTTTGACAAGAGTTAAACTGGCTAAATCGAAGGAAATCTTGGCATACTGCAGTCAGTTTGGGGGTTCTCCATGCGTTTTTTATTCAGAGGGAATTGCAGGAGTGTTGGAAACTGTTTCTTTGTTAGGCTCCTGAACGGTTGGACCGCAGGCACAAAGTGAGGTAGACAAGGGAGGATGGACACGTGCGTGAAAGGGAACATCGTTTGTAGTGGAATTGCGCCCTTCATGATGTAAACATGAGTGCCTCCAAAAGATGGGAGGTCCCTTTGCGCGGGACGATTGCCACAGAGAATAGAATTCTTGGGCGTGTGTAGGGACTCTGAGTGTTAGATCATGGTTGAGTCATCCTTCCATCACTTTACTTGCATCCATTTCACATTAGCTGATGACCAATTACTTCTACCGCTTGGAAGGGGGGGTGCCCTTCATAGCTGGCGCCGAAAAATTGGGTCATGACTGGTAGGATGCACACACTCACAATACAGGCGTATGGGTTGATTTGAACAGAAGGCGCCCTCAGAGCTACACTACCCAGGAAGTCCAGCCAATGGACATCCACCTTGCTGCTTTTGGAGTCCCTCCTTTTGCATGGCTTCCAGTGGAATCTGGTGATGTTCAACACAGCCATCAGTGCCTGTGAGACCTGCAACTGGTGCCGTCCTGATATTTTCAATCACAGATGTCCTGTAGGGATTGGGTGGATGTTGAATTGGCACAAGTCATTCTGACAACTTTGACCTTTCACTTTGTTTTTTTGGGTTTCTATTTTGGAGTTACTGTATTAAAATAAATAAATAAATAAACAAACAAACAAATAAATAAATAAATAAATAAAAAATATATATATATATATCTTAATATAACATAAATATATTATATGATGTTGTAATATGATATGAAATGATATGATATAATACAACAATATATATGTATATGTATATGTATATGTATATGTATATGTATGTGTATATGTATATGTATATATATATGCGTATATGTATATATGTATATATATATATCACTTTTTCCTTTGATTGAAGCATGTTGAAGCTGGGGTTGCCGGAGCATCCGCTGTGGGTTGCAACGCAGGTCGATGGCCGAAGCCCTGCTGGGAGACCATGGCCTGCCATTGGCTGATGTGGTGACCTTCAATGCCATGTTGCCGGGTGATGGATAGATGATTTTTTGCGCCAGTGTTGGTGGATGTTCGAACATGTGGGTGTGGGTCAAAATGGAAGACCTAGGGGACCACAGATGTTAGTCTAGTTTAGTATTAACCATCCATACTTTTGGGGTACCTAATTTTGACCCATACCCATGTGGTGTTTAAAGATAGCTATCAGCTAGTTGCCATTTTTGTTGCGTTACTCTAAGATGTGTCCCTTCCCAATCACTCAAATAAACTGACCCAGCTGGGTGGGGAAAACGCTCACCCAGATGCTGATCCGCTACCATTCAGGCTGAGTGCCTCAGGGCAGAGCCAGAAATGGCATCGATCTCTTGACATCTTGGAGCACCTCCAGCACAGCCACGTGGAGGTGGAGATGAAGCATTGGCTTTTGGCTGTCCGCTTGGGGTTGGCCACCTTCATCATTTCATGAAAAACCCAGTAGATTGAACTCGGTTGATGCTAATCATCCCTTGGAGATAGGTCACCTATCCCTACATCCCAGTGGCCAGGCATCAGTGGTCACCTTTAACTCGACCATCGGCGCATGCGCTTCCTGGGTGCGCGGCTGCTTGCTGCTGTGTGATCTTGCGGATGTAGTGACCTGCAATGCCATGATCAACACCTGCAGCACTTGGGAAACGGCAGCTTGGATGGGATTGGGAAGTTCACTTGGCAAGGACCCCCAAACTTTCTTTGGCGTCCCTTCATCAACCATGTACCTCCTGGTGCGAACTGATCCAAACCCCCTCTACCGAACAACTGGGTGATATCTTTACGAAAACATGGCATCCGAATCAATTCAATGTTGCATCTGTGGGATTAGCACCCTACGTACAACAATCTGTAAAGACTTGAGTTTGTGGTTTTTGTGCTTAATCAAAATCTTAGCATGCCACGACCTTAGACATCGTGCGAGCCCTTAGTTTACCGGCTTGGACCTTAAATTGCTCCTTGGCTTTAGTTTCTTACTTAGGGGGAGTGTTCACCCGCACTTGCGCGGATCACTCTCTGAGGAACTTTGGCCTTTTAGGACTATTTTTGAGCTGACGCTCATCGTCGGCTCCGCCGGATTGCTCGACCCTCCATTTCATCGCAGTGTGGGCTTGAAAGCTATTGAATGAGGACCTGCTTCAGAAATATATTCCTTAGGTTTTTTGGAACATATTTGTTGGAAATAGACGTTTTTTTGGGAGCAAGTGAGTTCCCGAAAGCTCCTGCGAAGGGTTTTTCCTAAAGAATTGCTGCCAATTTCAACTTGTTACTTCGTGTAAAGGCGCCTCTGTGCAAAGACTTCTCTGTGTAAAAGCTTTTGTGTGTAAAAGTTTTCTCTGTGTAAAGACTTCTTTTGTAAAAGCTTCCTTCTGTGTGTGAAAGCTTCTCCGTGTGAAAGCGCGTCTGTTTAAAATTTTCTCTGTGTGTAAAAGCTTCCGTGTGTAAAAACTCTCTGCGTAAAGGCTTCTCTGTGCAAAAGTTTCTGTGTGTAAACGCGTCTGTGTGTTAAAGATCTTTGTGTAAAGACTTCCTAGTGTAACGGATTTTGTGTTTAAAAACTCCAAGACATTTGTGTGCAAAAGCTCCTTAGAGTAAAGACTTCTCTGTGCGAAACCTTCTGTGTGTAAAAAGCTCCTTTGTGTAAAGACTTCTCTGCGTAAAAGCCCCTGTGTGTGTAAAAGCTTCTGTGCGTCTCCTCCCTCCAGCTTTCTTTCGGGTCACGCTGTCGCCCACTTTCAATCTGCAACGTTGTTTCTTGTGGAAGAAGTTTTTCCCTTGTTGTTTTCTCGTCGCTGCTGCGTACCCAACCTTGGCCAGGGGGTTGGGCTCGCAGCTCTGGCTGGAGTTTCTTTTGTGAAATGTCCAACCTGCGGGGAGTAGTTTGCTCCACACAGCCTGTATCATATGTATTTTAGGCCCACCATTCCTTCAATTAGGTTTGGCACTTATTGGCTCGCACTTACATGTTTCGCTCAAGAAAAGAGCGCATTGCAAGGCTGCAAACCTTGAAACTTATACAGGATGGGCCTACCAGATTCCGGTGGAGAAGGGGCCTCCAAGATTTTGGTGGCACTGGTGGCATCCTCGTTTCCCTTGGTGAATTTCCCAATCCTTATCCATTAACAATGCCAACCACCACCACTTTAACAGCCATCTGCCACCAGGCCTGGTGGCTGCTTGGTGCCATCTCGGACCGGCGATGCGCCGGCAACGCTGTGAGCTGTGGCACGGTGGTCGCCCGTTGCCGCGAGCAGTGGCGAACAGCTTGGCATTTGCTGGCGCAGATGGAGCGCCAAGTGCAAGGCAACGAGGTGCCCAGGGGTGGCTTGAAACCACAGTGATGTTTTTGTGGGGATCGATGCCTAAAAAAATTAAGAATGCGTTTATTCTGGAGTCCTGCTTCTCCATTGTAGTCCCTTATATGCATAATTGGTTGCTCCGCAGTTCTACCCCCATTTCAGCGCTTGTCACCCTACCAACCTTGAATTGGCACATGGGTCATAGCTGGCGACAAGTTTTTTTTAACTGGGATTTGATAGGTGCAAGACATGAACTAACCCAATGATATCCAACGTTTGTAGGTTTCCTACCCGTGTTTCCAACCTCTTCGGATCACTCATGTAAACCCCGGACTACCAAAACCCTGACAATCAATTGGGCAGTTACCTTCAAAATAGTGTTGAAATTGCATTCAATTGCTACTGAAATTGATGCCTGCTATACTACTAAATTTTTAGATTACTACTAATTTAATGTTCAGATAACTGAATTACTATTATTACAATGTGCGACATATACATAGATATTGGATTATTCATAATAAATTACAATTACGTTGCTGCTAAATTACATTGAATTACTATATGATAATGTCATCCCATTTATTATATGTCATCCCATTAATATTATATGTCATCCTATCATATATGATTACTATAGTAATTACTATATGGGATGATTAAATCATATATGATAATCCAATTATTATAGTAATTGACAACATATTATATATCATATTGGGATGATCATTACTATTATGATCATTATTATTATTATTATTACTATTATTATTATTATTATATGTCATCCCATTGACCAATGATTTATTTGATCATCCCATTGGTTCTCAGCGCCTAGGTGGTCTACAGCGCACTGCTCAGCTGCTGCGAGCAGGGCGAGGATTGGCGCGCTGCCTTGGCTGTGCTGGCGCGGATGCAGGATGCCAATGGCCTCGTTGGCAATGGAGGGCCCTAGGAATCCAAAATCCTTCGAAAATATGATGAAACTGGGGGGAAATGAGTGGAAAACCATAGAAACCCTCTAGTGATGAGTGATTTGTTGAGTCATTTGAGCACTTTCCACAAGAGTGTCGAGCTTCCATTTGACCATTGCATTGAGAATGCTATTGCTCACACGATTGGCTCCTCGGTGGCAGGAGAAATCTCTGCAGGCGAATGTGATTGCCATCAATGCTGCAATCAGTGCCTGTGAGAAATGCAAACGGTGGAGCGTCCCTTGGCTCCAGTCTTTGGCATGACCAATGGCAGCAGACTTGGCCAGAATTAGGAGATTTGGTTGTAATTACAGCTGTTTGCTGGAAGCATTCCACTACCTGTTGATCCCCACCCCAAGGAAACGATACCCTATGTGCCAACGGATTTGGAGATCGGTCCCAAGATCGTCAAATATCTAGCACGTCCCGACATTCAAGCCAAATACTGGTAATTTTTTCTTTGACTCGCTGTTCATCCGAGGAAGCCTTGTCTTTGTTGCAAGCTTTGCAAGCCCAGCGACAGGATGACGTGGTGAGTCACAGCGCCGCCATCGGCGCCTGCCAGCTGTGGCCCTTGGCCCTGTGGCTCTTTGCGACGATGGCGCGGGCACCCGACGTGCAGTGCTGCAACGCAGTGGTTGGGGCGTTGACCGGTGCCACCCAGTGGGCAAGGGCCTTGGAGACCCTCAGAGCTATGGGTTCCTACCAGCTGCGAGGCAACGCCATCACCTTTAATGCGTGCATCGATGCTTGTGAAAGGTCTGATCGTTGGTGGGAGGTGCTGCTGTTGCTGGCCAACTTGGATAAACTGATGGCGCTGGATCCTGCGCTGAAGGCTGGCTCGCGCTAGCTGAAAGCAGGCAAAAGACAGCATGACAGCAGGAGCTTCACAGCATCTCGGGACTAAGAGTTACAACTTCGACCATGTCCCAGGAGCCAAGGGGCCAACGGTGCCAACGTTTCGGTGCAAGGGGTGTGATTTTGCTAGATGAAGCCGCTGAAGCCAGGAGCAATGACGACGCGCGCTTCTCAGCTTGGGAAAATTAAATGATGCTAAATGGCCTCACACTTCAAACCCCTGGGTGTCCTTACCAAGAAGAATCATCAAATGGCAGATGTCATGGGTACCGATATAGCTGACGGCCACCCATATGCCCAGGTTTCGGCTTGAACCAGCGCGATGAGAAGTTGGTTCTTGGAAGCCTATGCGGTGGAGGTGAGGGAAAAGTTTCCAAAGTTTGCTGGCGTTCGAATCATTCATGGTGGATATGAGACTGGCATAGACTGGCTGTTTAGAAGTCAGTGCATGATCTTCGGCTAGAATTCAGGACGAATTCTGGATCCGCAACCTTGGATGGTTTGAGAATGTGGTACACACAATGATTTTGACCATACCCTCTGGTAAACTAACATAACTATGGAAAATCACCAGTTTTAATGGGAAAATCCACTATTATAGGTCATTTTCAATAGCTACGTTAAATTACCAGAGGGTAATTGCAGTCCTTTTTTGGGTATGGTTTTCAAATACCTACCATTTCAAGCTAAGTTCTGTAATCCGCCCCAGCCGCGCGAGTGTGGCTCTTCCCCGTGTCTTCGAATTGCCGTCTCTGCAACCGGTGCCATGGCGGAATCCGCACCGCTCATCGAGGACGAGTTTGCACAACGAGATGACATGGGCCTGCAGCAGCTGACTGAGAAGACGGAGACAGAAGATCAGTCCTTCGCAAAATATGTGCCTTGGACACCCTTAAAGCAAAGCATTGGGGGGATGCAACTTGTAGCAAAACATGCGTGTGTATAACATGACCGTATAAGTAGATCATGTCCATTGAGGCAGACCAAAAGTTTGGACAAAAAGTTGCTAATTCAGGTTGGTGCAGACGTTGAAGCTGTCCCATGTGACCTTTGTTGGCCTCTGTGTTGGGAGCAGCCCAAACCCATTCAGGGACCATATCCCGCAGAAGCGTCAACACCAAAAAAGTTTGGTTTGGAGGTTGGAAGTTCGTTTTCTTATGTTTATTTACTATTCTTTCCCATTCCAGCCAATTTTGCGCTGTCATGATATTTTATGTTCGATTTCCGATATTTCTGAGATCTTATTCCGTGGCCCCCCCAAGTGGCCGCACAAACCCGAGTTGAAGATGTTGATGGTGGCTGTTCCCTTGATCGGCTTGGCCTTCGCTGTGGGTACTTACTTCGCATCTGTCTACTTGTTGGGTGGCAAGACCATCCTAGAGACGAAGTTTAGCTTCATCAAGGAGCACCTGAGCGCTGGACTTGGTCATCCTTTGGTAATGTAAGGGCCTAACGGGGTTGGCAAGGGAAAAGCACAACTTTTTCATGGGAAATCAGCGACAAATGAATATAAAGAATAATGCCGGGAGCTTTTCCATTGCCTGATTAGTTTATTGCAGGGTGTCCACTTGGGTGTTCGGTGGTGAAGTTGTGATTCCACACTCGCAACAGGTCACAGTTCAGGAAGATTGGATGGTGAAAGAATCACTAGAGTCACTTTAGAAATTACATGCCAGAGGCGTGAAGCTCCACAATTCCTTTGGGCCCAAGGTATCAGCTGAGCTACATCTTCCTGGCTGTGTGGCTAGTGGGCTACACCCGCTCGGCCCTGGGCTTGGTTGCGAACGCCGCGCGGGCGGGTGCACGCCTGGACCGACCAGATCAGCATGTCTACAAGATCATGGCCTGCTCGGGGCCGATGAAGGATGGGCCGTGGAAGACCTGGGATGGACATGGGACGTGGGCTGTAAAGATGTTGAGCCAATTGATGGGGATTCGAATTGGCACCAAGTCAGGGATTTCACTTCAACAATGGATTTGGGTTTGAGAAAAAATGAAGCGGCCAGAATTATGCTTGCCAAACATGAAATAACATGATGACCAACCGTTCGATTTTAGGGCCACCCCGTTCTTGAACAAAAACGATGGACATGGACCTGAAATGTCGCCCTGGTGGATTCCATTGCTTAATGTTCGGTCCCAAAAATGTGTTATATATTTGATGCCAATTGGAATTAATCATTGAGCGGCGCTCATTCCACAGCCAAGATGTTCATTAGGGGTTAGCACTACCATAAACCCAGTGAGTCGTTTCAATTTGCAACATTTTTTAATTTGAAGGCAACAAATCTTTCCAGCTGTTTGCCCTAACATGGAGCCAGCCAGTAGTTGTTTTTGAGTCATTGGCTTCAGCAAAGCAACCTCTCTGAATCTCTCTGAGATGATCTTGCTGAGGTTGCAGCCATGCCACTAACTTAGTCCTCATTTTTTGTCAGTCACATAATATGTGATGGTTGAGCGCCTATAATTCATATTTTCTTGTTGGCTGCAACTTGCATCATATTACTGACGTGTAAATGAACACAAACAGATACATACATGCATACATACATGCATGCATGCATGCATGCACAGATACATACTGTAGATACATAAATACATAGATACATAGATCCATAGATACACGCACATACATAGATACATAGATACATAGACACATAGACACATACACACATGCACAAATACACCCATACACACATGCACAAATACATACATACACACACATACATAAATACATAAATACATAAATACATAAATACATACATACATACAAACAAAGATACATAGATCTATACATGCCTAGATGCATAGATGCATAGATACATAGATACTTAGATGCATGGATGCAAAGATGCAAAGATTTATAGGTACATGTATACATAGACACATAGACACATAGACACATAGATGCATAGATACATAGATACATGGATCCATAGATACACACATACACACACATACATAGACACATAGATACATAGATGCATAGATACATAGATACATAGATACATAGATGCATAGATACATAGATACATAGATACATATACATCCTACATATACAAATGCAACAAACTTACATATGCATAAACACATGCATACATTATACATACATATATATATACATACATACATACATACATACATACATACATACATACATACATACATACATACATACATACATACATACATACATACACATTACATACATGGTTACAAAGATACAAAGATACATACATACACACACACATATACATACATACATACATATTCTACCTACCTACCTACCTACCCACCTACCTACTACCTACGTACCTACGTACCTACGTACCTACGTACCTACGTACCTACGTACCTACGTACCAGCGTACCGACGTACCGACGTACCTACGTACCTACGTACCTACGTACCTACGTACCTACGTACCTACGTACCTACGTACCTACGTACGTACCTACTACGTACCTACTACGTACCTACTACGTACCTACTACGTACCTACTACGTACCTACTACGTACCTACTACGTACCTACTACGTACCTACTACGTACCTACTACGTACCTACTACGTCCCTACTACGTGCCTACTACGTACCTACTACGTGCCTACTACGTGCCTACTACGTGCCTACTACGTGCCTACTACGTGCCTACTACGTGCCTACTACGTGCCTACTACGTGCCTACTACGTGCCTACTACGTACCTACTACGTACCTACTACGTACCTACTACGTACCTACTACGTACCTACGACGTACCTACGACGTACCTACGACGTACCTACGACGTACCTACGACGTACCTACGACGTACCTCCGACGTACCGACGTACCGACGTACCGACGTACCGACGTACCGACGTACCGACGTACCTGCGTACCTACGTACCTACGTACCTACGTACCTACGTACCTACGTACCTACGTACCTACGTACCTACGTACCTACGTACCTACGTACCTACGTACCTACGTACCGACGTACCGACGTACCGACGTACCGACGTACCGACGTACCGACGTACCGACGTACCGACGTACCGACGTACCGACGTACCGACGTACCGACGTACCGACGTACCGACGTACCGACGTACCGACGTACCTACGTACCTACGTACCTACGTACCTACGTACCTACGTACCTACGTACCGACGTACCGACGTACCGACGTACCGACGTACCTACGTACCTACGTACCTACGTACCTACGTACCTACGTACCTACGTACCTACGTACCTACGTACCTACGTACCTACGTACCTACGTACCTACGATTACCTACGTACCTACGTACCTACGTACATACGAACATACGAACATACATACATAGATACATACATAGATACATACATAGATACATACATAGATACATACATACATACATACATAGATACATACATATAGTAGATTTATATACATAAGTTTTCAAGACCCCCACTTTCCCAACCTTGATTGGTCCACGCCTCAAGGACGCTCCCTACGTCCTGATGGCCAACACCGGTGCCGTGGGGCGTTTCAACCGCGCGCAGCGCGCCGTCTTCAACACAGACGAGTCGATGCCATTGCCACTTGGCCATGCAGTGGAGTTCTTAGCGCAGATGATAACGGTGGATTAATGATGGGTTACGGTGATTGATGGTGGTTTATCAGTATATAATGGTGGTGAAATTGATGATAATGGTGGGTTAATATTTGGGGTATACAACATTGGTATGCAACGAGTAACAGTGAGTAATGGATCAATATCAGTGATCAATGGATGGATATGGGTTAATGATCAGTCATGGGCATAATAGTGGTGATAACAGTAATAAGATGGGAGATAACCTCTATAACTATGGATCCACTTTTATATAGTTCGAACTGCACCCCAAGTGGGTTTGGAGTGGGGTTGGGGGTTGGGACATATATCCAGGCATAAACCTGTTGAGCCATCAAAAGCACCACTGTTGACGGGTTAAAATAAGAGGGTTCATGGGTTATGATTCACGATGAGTGGGTACTGCAAAACCTCCAGTAGAGTTTGTGACAAGAAGCTTCGCCGTTCAAAGGCTCAAAATGAAAGCCCCATGTTGGCAGGTTTTCTGGCAGGTTTATTTTTTTTCTGGGGTGGTTGCGCCGGCCAAAATGATGAGTTTAAATGTTCAACTGCCTTGAGGTGGGGATCCAATATCCAATATTTGAAAGAGGCTACATAATAATGGACAATGTGGTAGCCCCCATAGACCTTGGTTTGCCAAGCCAGTATATTATTCTAGTTTTTATCCCTCACAATTTGAGGATCAAATAATTGACCACCCCAACCGAGCTGATGAATACTGCACTAGTTGGTGGAATGACTCTGGCAATCCCAATTTTTGGTTGTTCCACTGCCAGGTTGACCAGTGGGTAACTAAGAATGGGAGATGCACGTGAGGTGGTGAGATACTTGAGCAACAGAAAATACCATACATAACCAACACTATTTCTGGTAGGGTCCGGAAACGAGGGAGCAGGTCAGTAAGATCCACCAAGATTGATGATTACACGTATGCGTGGCTTTGCTCAGATGAATGGGATCCAGTTGTGATTTGCTTGCTGGGATGGTGTAAACCAAAAAGTTGATGCTGGTTCATCTTTGTAGATAGATCCGCTTTTGTTGCTTATCGTAATGCATCCTAAGACCATTTGAGCAGTGTTCAAACCACCAGCTGCTTGATGATAACAGGGGTTAGACATGGTTAGACTAGGATTGCAGTATCATCCATCATGATAACCCCCAAGGCCCTATTCACCAGCCACTGTAATGGAATGACCAAGTGGTTTTGACCATTGTGCTTTCTGAGGTTTTTGATGAACACCGTCCTGGCCAGTGGCGTCTTTGGCCCCGTGATCTTGGTGCCACTGCTTCTGCCACTAGTCGCACTGGTCCATCAATACTTGCAGCCAAATAATACGTAGGGTGATGCACATTCATTTGCCCAGCTACATTCGGGTTTTCAGTACCAAGGTGAAGTGAACCGTAGCCTTAAAGGAGTGAGCTAAAATTGGCAGCAGATGAGGGATGCTCAATTTGACCTTTACAAACGTTGTCCCGAAGTGAAGGTGACCAATGCCAAACATGAGATATTTGACCGTCCTTGCATCAGAGGCATTGAATTGCATTGTTCGTCGACCGGATTGGGGGTATTGTAGCTGCATCACCGGTAGACCTTGGATTTTGGTATCTGATCCATGGCTCCTCAGGTACTGCTATGGTCGTTTGACCTTCGCGGTGAAGTACAAGAACTCGCTGAAAGAGCGTGGCGCGGGCTTTTTGCCTTCAATGATCGGGGAGAAATGGATCGAAGGACTGACTTGGCATGTTTGGAGGGGATGTTCCGTGACAGTCGATGTTACTAAGACACTAGCATCTGTAAAGGATTGATAATTGTGGAGGAGTCACAACCCCAACCACGAACCAGTCATTTCTGTCTATGTTTTGTTGCGGGTGGTGAGGACTCACTCTGTTCTCTGCCATCAAGGGCCTCTTCTTCTGAGCCCTGCTGGCAGCATTGTTCCTCTTTCCTAGTGGAAGGGATGAATCAAGGGCAACAAAAATAGAACAGACGCCCTTCAGCTGCACAGGTGACTCGAAACCTCCAAAGATCCAAGGGTTTGAGGCAAATGGCAGCGATAAAATCATGCAGAAATGTTGCACCTTCGGCCACAACTGCCAGTTTTGTGTTGTCTGCAGTGCTTTTGGACCAAGACCAGATTGAGGGGGGGAAGTGATTTGAACAATGCGGATTTGATGCAAGTTTGTTTGCATTTATGTGCCCAAATTTCTTGGAATGGTATACAGGTATACCATCATTTTCCACCGCGCTCCCATATTGGTTGGGTTTTTTCTACTCAATGTAAGTCCTACGGGTATGGGTCACAAATGACCAGCCCGTTTCCCAGGGAAGCGGTCATACATAAAAGCTGCTCCTTAGGAAAGCTGGCAGAGCCTGCCTCTTTGCGTGACGCAGGTCCATTGAAGGCGATTGAAGGCTCTCAAGGCTGTCTGAGTCCCAGCATCGCAGCACCTGGTTGGGAGCTGGTGGGCCCGGCTCAGATACGGGTAGATGTGGGTTGTGTATGTTGTACCCACTTAGTTCAGGGATTGGCTGATTTGCATGCAATGACAATATTTCACAATAACAAGACTTCCATTGACCTTTGCATGTTTGGTCTTGCTTTGGAACTGTGGGATTCTTCGTGGATCACATCAAGAGACCCGAGCTTGGATCATATCATTTCATTGTTTACTTTACTACCCAAGTCTTGTTGGTTGCAGTGTGTTGTGGCTGCAGTGTGGCCGCTCTGTCAGCAGCCATTTCAGTGCCACTCATATCCGTGGTCCTGGTGGCTGAATCCCAACACATTGCAGCTTTGCGGCAAGTTCCAGAGTCTGGCCCCAGGATTTAGCAGTCACTGTGGTCATGTTGCAATATGGCTGAATATTTGTCGGACAATCTTGAGACCTGTTTCGAGATTCTGGCAGCGCTGGTGAAGCTTTCCAACCCTACCATTGTTGGAACACAGATGGGGGGGAGGCCTCCGTGCCAGATCATCAATGCTCATACCCACTGCTTGGAATCGGCACCCTCTCATTTTGATTGTGGCAAAGGTAGGCCACGCCAGCCCAAATTTTGGATCGTTCCCAGAATCGCTTCGGTATGAGGAAGTCATGCGCCTCCTTTCCCTGCTGGCGCCAGCAGTGGCGCTGGTGTTGGATGAGAAATCCTTGGAGGCGATGGAAACCAGGGTGCGTCCAGCTATGTCCATATAGTATCATGGGTGGTTTCAAAAATGGGGGAATACTTGTATATGATGTATATGATGTATATGATGTATATGACTTCACCACAAGTATGATCGATCTAAACCAAACCGAAGATGTCCAGCGATAGGGAAGATGATGCCAACCAAACCCGTGCCAGAATTGTTCGTCAAATAGGGCATTCGCTGTACGGTAGTCCCGGTAGTCATGACAAGTCAACTACAGACAGATGGTAGAGGATGCCTTGTATCGATAGAGGCATGCAACATTTGTGCCTCTTGACATGACAAAACCACCTCCAAAAAATCAAGGGCCTTTGGCTCAGATGCTGTGAACATGCCGATGAAGTGGCCTCACCAAGGAAGTTCCAACATGTTCCACCAACTTCCATCGATTTTCTTGTTTTCCTCTCCCAAAAGACATCCATTGCTACACCAGAAGCATCTTGGATTTCCGGGGCCTTTCAAGGCGCCCGAAATAAACACACCAGACCAACCTACCATGTTCACCAACCCTCTCCAAAAGTGATGGGCCCCTTCCAGTTCCCGAATGGGTTTATCAAGACCTAAGGTCACTACCAATCGTTTTTCCCCACCTGCCAGGTGAGGGTTGTTAGATTTTATGTCAGTTGCCTCCTCCTTCTCCTCCTCCTCCGCCTCCTCCTGCCTCGTCCTCCTCTCCTCCTCCTCCTCGTCCTCCTCGTCGTCCTCGTCGTCCTCGTCGTCCTTGCTCAACTGCGACCCGCGATCCACGCTCAGTGTTCCCTGCCGGACCTCCACCACGACCATCCCCGCCCAGTGTTCCCTGCCGGACCTCAACCACGACCATCCACGCCCAGTGTTCCCTGCCGGACCTCAACCGCGAGGATCCACGCCAAGTGTTCCCTGCCGGACCTCATGTAGGAAGATATGGGACAAAGAATGTGCAGAAGAAAGTTAGAAAGAATGTCAGAAAGAATGTCAGAAGATATGCCAGAAGATATGCAAGAAGATATGCCAGATAGAATGCCAGATAATATGCCAGAAGATATGCCAGATAGAATGCCAGATAGAATGCCAGAAGATTTGCCAGATAGAATGCCAGAAAATATGCCAGAAGATATGCCAGATAGATATGTCAGAAGAGATGCCAGAAGATATGCCAGAAGATATGCCAGAAGATATGTCAGAATATATGCCAGAAGATATGTCAGATAGAATGCCAGAAGATATGTCAGAATATATGCAAGAAGATATGCCAGATAGAATGCCAGAAGATATGTCAGATAGAGTGCCAGAAGATATGCCAGATAGAATGCCAGAAGATTTGCCAGATAGAATGCCAGAAGATATGCCAGAAGATATGCCAGATCATATGCCAGAAGATATGCCAGATAGAATTTCAAATAGAATGTCAGAAGATATGTCAGATAGAATGCCAGAAGATTTGCCAGTAAGAAAATGTATAAATGTCATGGTGGGGATCACACGAAGTAAAGTATTTTTTCCCCCAACAGCAGAAGCTTTGGGGTCTTCAGCCATAGTAAAGGTTTCGGAGCAGACCGGAGCAGCTCCAAAACCCATTCCCCCAAGGTTCCCAGGTTCCAAGTAAAGGTTCCCAGGTTCCCAAGTAAAGGTTCCCAGTTAAAGGTTCCCAAGTAAAGGTTCCCAGGTTCCCAAGTAAAGGTTCCCAAGTAAAGGTTCCCAAGTAAAGGTTCCCAAGTAAAGGCTCCCAAGTAAAGGTTCCCAAGTAAAGGTTCCCAAGGTTCCCAAGGTTCCCTCAAGGTTCCCAAGGTTCCCTCAAGGTTCCCAAGGTTCCACAAGGTTCCCTCAAGGTTCCCAAAAGGTTCCCAAAAGGTCCCCAAAAGGTTCCCTCAAGGTTCCTTCAAGGTTCCCTGCAAGGTTCCCAAGTTTTCCAAGTAAAGGTTGTCAAGGTTCCCAAGATTATTATGCAAAGGTTCCCAAGTAAACGTTGTCCAGGTTCCCAAGGTGACATTCAAAAGGTTTCTATAAGATTCCCAAGGTTAGATTGTCAAGTTTCGCTCAAGGTTCCCAAAAGGTACCCTCAAGGTTCCTTCAAGGTTTCTTCAAGGTTCCCTGAAGGTTCCCAAGTTTTCCAAGGTTCCCAAGGTTGTATTGTAAAGGTTCCCTCAAGGTTCCCAAGGTTACATTGTAAAAGGTTCTCAAGGGTTCCAAGGTTATATTGTCAAGGTTTCTTCAAGCTTTCCAAGGTTGCATTGTAAAGGTTCCCTCAAGGTTCCCAAGGTTACATTGTAAAGGTTCTCAAGGGTTCCAAGGTTATATTGTCAAGGTTTCCTCAAGCTTTCCAAGGTTGCATTGTAAAGGTTCCCTCAAGATTCCCAAGTTTCCCAAGTAAAGGTTGTCAAGGTTCCCAAGGTTGTATTGTAAAGGTTCCCTCAAGGTTCCTAAGTTTTCCACGTAAATGTTCTCAAGGTCCCGGTTATTATGTAAAGGTTCCCAAGTAGTAATATTCGTCGTAATATAGCAATTTCTTGAAGAAATTTGAATGCGGCTACACGCGCCGAACCCGCGCAGAACAACACGCGCGGAACCCGCGCAAAACGCAGACGCGCGTACTAGTAATACTTCTAGTAGTAGTAGTAGTAGTAGTAGTAGAACTAGTACTCGTAGTAGTAGTAATAGTAGTAGTAGTAGTAGTTAGTAGTAGTAGTAGTAGTAGTAGTAGTCGTGGTAGTAGTAGTAGTAGTAGTAGCAGCAGTAACAGTAGCAGTAGCAGTAGCAGTAGCAGTAGTAGTAGCAGAAGTAGTAGTTAGTAAGAAGTAGTAGTAGTAGTAGTAATACTATCGCAGATGTAGTAGAAATGATACTAATCTTAATATTGATGAAATTATAATTAGTAAAGGTAGTAATGATTTTCGTTGTTATTAACTTTTTGAAGAAAATTGAATGCGACGACGCGCGCGGAACCCGCGCAGAACAACACGCGCGGAACCCGCGCGAAACGCGCATAACGCGCGGAACCTGCGCGTACTATTAATACTTCTAGTAGTAGTAGTAGTAGTAGTAGTAGGAGTAGTAGGAGTAGTAGGAGTAGTAGGAGTAGGGAGTAGGGATTTGGTATTTGTGGGAGATTGGTGTAGGATAGGTAGCTTTGGCTAGTAGGTTATGTGTTTAGTAAGTATTTTGTTTGGGTAGTAGGAGTAGTAGGAGTAGGGAGTAGGGAGTAGGGAGTAGGTAGTAGGTAGTAGGTAGTAGGTAGTAGGTAGTAGGTAGTAGGTAGTAGGTAGTAGGTAGTAGGTAGTAGGTAGTAGGTAGTAGGTAGTAGGTAGTAGGGAGTAGGGAGTAGGTAGTAGGTAGTAGGTAGTAGGTAGTAGGTAGTAGGTAGTAGGTAGTAGGTAGTAGGTAGTAGGTAGTAGGTAGTAGGTAGTAGGTAGTAAGTAGTAAGTAGTAAGTAGAAAGTAGTAAGTAGTAAGTAGTAAGTAGTAAGTAGTAAGTAGTAAGTAGTAAGTAGAAAGTAGAAAGTAGAAAGTAGAAAGTAGCAAGTAGCAAGTAGAAAGTAGCAAGTAGCAAGTAGCAAGTAGCAAGTAGCAAGTAGCAAGTAGCAAGTAGCAAGTAGTAAGTAGTAAGTAGTAAGTAGTAAGTAGTAAGTAGTAGGTAGTAAGTACAAAGTAGTAAGTAGTAAGTAGTAAGTAGTAAGTAGTAAAGTAGTAAAGTAGTAAGTAGTAAGTAGTAAGTAGTAAGTAGTAGTAAAAAGTAGTAGTAAGTAGTAGTAAGTAGTAGTAAGTAGTAGTAAGTAGTAGTAGTAGTAGTAGGAGGAGGAGGAGTAGTAGTAGAAGTAGTAGTTAGTAAGAAGTAGTAGTAGTAGTAGTAGTTAGTAAGAAGTAGTAGAAGTAGTAGTAGTAGTAGTGGTAGTAGTAGTAGTAGTAGAAGTAGTAGTTAGTAAGAAGTAGTAGTAGTAGTAGTAGTAGTAGGAGTAGTAGGAGTAGTAGGAGTAGTAGGAGTAGTAGGAGTAGTAGGAGTAGGAGGAGTTAGTAGTAGTAGTAGTAGTAGTAGTAGTAGTAGTAGTACTAGTAGTAGTACTAGTAGTAGTAGTAGTAGTAGTATTAGTAGTAGTAGTAGTAGTTGTTGTTGTTGTTGTTGTAGCAGAAGCAGTAGTAGTAGTGGGGGCCGGCGGGCCCGGCGGGCAGGACGGCGCAAAAATGCCCTGCATTGCTTGGTCATGAAACAAAAACTACCACGCTTATATGGAATTACTGCTTGGGATCTACGGCCGCTGCTTTCTTGCTGTTGGGGATATTCTTTGGGCTTATTTTAAATAGGGTGACATAAGTGACATGCCGCACTTCACCCTACTCTCACACGGTTTCCTCTCCCAAATTCTTCACAAGTTGGCACGCTCCAATTCTCTGCAGTTCATGAGGCTACAAATTCACCAACTTGAAAAAACGTGGAGTGGTCAACCTAAAATTACAGCTTATGTTGATTTACAATCTATACTATACTTTATAACCATGATATATCCATCCCCAAAATATCTCTAGGTTTAAAAAAAGCCGCCTGCCATGGACGCGCTGTTCACCGATCCCAACTGCACTTTGTCGGTGCCCTGGTCCACGTGGCTGAGCCGCCTCGAGGGCCTGGGAGGTTTGGACCTGGGGCCCTTCGGGGCGGAGGCCACTGCGGAAGGCGTCAAGGCGCAGCAAGCAGAGGCGAAGTTGGGAGGGCTGGAGAGGTGTCAGAGATGAGATGTCTTGAGATGATGTGATTTACGACAATATAAAAATAATGATAAAAATAATGATAAATAACACTGCTAATAAGAATAAATCCAAACTAAAAATAGAAATAAACATGATAATAACAATGGTAATAATGATAATAACAATACCAATACTGATAATTATAAAAAGTACCAATAATGATAACAATAGTAATGATAATAATGATAACAATAAAAATAACAATGCTACTAATATATAATAATTATTTAAAATGATACGGATAACAATAATAATGATACTAATAGCAACAATACTAGTAATAACAATACTAATAATAACGGTAATAATAATAATGATAATAATAATGATAATAATAATAATATATATATATATATACACATATATATATATAGATACATGCGCACACACACACATGCACACGCACACACACACACATGCACACATGCACACATATATGTATATATTTATATATAGATACATATACATATCGTAATATCCTACATGTATTTTGGACATTATGATTATGACATAGGCTGCGACAAAAAACAAACCCACACGACGTGTTTGCGTTCTGGATGCGCATTCGTATTATGCTGAAAAGTTCGAAGATGAAAAAATTAGAAAGGCGCAGGATTTTCTAAGATTTCCTTTCTCACAGAATATTTTCTGGACCGTGCTTTGCGACTTCCATACTATATATTTGAGGGCTAGGTTAAGGGGTAGGCGGCTAGACGGCCCCCGCTGCAGACCGCAGGAGGCTGCCGCGGCGTTGGGTCTTGGCCCCGACAACAGCTGCTTCCTGGGGAGCTCGACACTTCTGCTGGCACAGGCGGAACTTGGAGATATCGAAAGTTGCTCAACTGGTAGCTGCAATTCTCAATTGAAAGTTTTCTATTCAGAAAACTTAAAGATGATGACCCCTTTATTTTAAGTTCTTGTCCTCCAATTAGCAACAAACAGAACCCGATCAACCGATAACCGATGCACCAACAACCAAGTAGTCGTTGGATTCACATTTTGGTCAGGTCGTTGGTGCCTGGCGCCGTGGGCGCTTCGTGGCAGCCTTGCAGACCTTTGTGGCGCAGCTGCCATGGTGGGGCAATATTTTTTGAGACCAACAATATTCGGGGATGGGCTTTTGTGGGGGTAGTTCATGTACAGCTGCGGATACAATGGAGTTGTTTTTTGGCAAGATGGGGGGTCCACCCAAATTCACCTAAATGACTGCCAGTGAGGCAGTGTTGCATGACCATTTCCTGACTGCTGCTCATCCCGGCTTCTTTCTGCATAGTGCTTGGCCACTGGGTGACCAGGAGATTTGTTTCATGATCTGAGAGTTCCGTTCTGACGCTTCAACCACCCCCAAAAAAACTGGCCTACTCTCAGCTGCAGGACGCGCGTTTTTGGAAGGACCGCCTGCTGTACCAGATCCGGCGCTTTCGGCAGATCGTGGGGCGAACCTTGGATCAAGGGCAGAAAGCCTTCGATGAGGTCCCAGATGCCGTGGAGCGGGACCGCCGGCGTCCGATGGTCCAAATGCCCTTGAAGCGTCCACTCTGATTTGGTAGGTTAGATATTGATATCAACTTGTCACTGTAGACTCCTTGGTCATTGGTGTGTATATCTTTGTTTTTGTGAATCTGGACCGAATAATGGGTGAGAAATGATCGAACATAGGCGTCCCCCAGCCAACTGTGCCGGTTCCTCACATGCAGCAGCAACTTCTTCATTCCTTGCAAGGAGAACCTGGGCAGTTTCGCCTCCCACGCCTTCCAACAGATGCAGCAGCGCAACACTTCATCCCGCTGGCCTTGGGAGTTGTCTCCCACTGTCGCCTTGATCCCCAACTACGGTGGCACCCTACCCCCGGTGCGCGTCTACGTCTACGGGGAGTCAGAGGTGCCAGCCCTGGGGCCTTTGACGCGCTCAGCGGCCTTCTGCCACTATCGCCAGTGGGGGATGGATGTGGGTTTTCACGACTTCTTTCGAACCTCCCCTGTGCGCACCTTCACGCCGGAGGAGGCAGACTATTTCTTCGTGCCAAGCTACGCCTGCTGTCACCAGATCGCGGGGATGGCGGATTTTCCGGAGTTGGATAGGGATTACGAAGCGGCGGTGGCGCAGCTGGCGTATTTCCAACGGGCCGGTGGAAGAGAAGCTTGTCTTGACTTAAGGTAGCCATTAGCAGCATGGATTTTTTGTTTGTAAACTTGAACTTTCTATTTGACATATTAAAATCATTTTTTCCCAGTTTTCCGCGTAGTCGAACTGGGATTTGTATGGATTTGTCTCAACCCTCAGTTGGGCAACCTTTCATGAGCACATTTTCAGGATCACATCTTCTCCTTCCACTATATTGACCTCTTCCCATCCTGGCGCAAGCGCATTCCCAAGAGTGTCATTCTGACGCCAGAGACAGAGGTGGGCTTCGAAAGATCTCTGGGGGACTTCGGTTTGGATCAGACGCGCTTTCCCCCGTTCAACCCCTTGAAAGACATCGTGGTGCCACCGACCCTTGGATTCCTAAGAGGTCAGGAAACCTGGACACCCTAGGGCCAAAACGCATGCCATATACCCACATCATGGGGCTGCTGAAGCCGAGGTACATCAATCTCAAAGATATCTTAGGCTTCCACCGCCACAGCAAGGTGCGACTGGGACTTACCCAGGGGATCAGAAAATCCAACCACCAAGAAGCAGCACCTATAACCTGCATTGAGTTTTCCAGCAGTGTCAACTTGTCAATGTTACGTTTGGAGCAAACCGGGTCCGAAGACGTTTGGACCCCACACCAAGTCTCACAAGAATCATCATTTCAACAACGCACAGCAATCAACAATCTTATTTCAGAAGCAAAGATCTTTTGATATCTTCTGATATCTCTGATATCTCCTAGAACTAGTTGAACTATCTATCCTTTCTTGTTGGACCCCACCCCCAGGGTCCTTGGGTCCTTGGGTCCAGGCCCTGGGCTCGCGTTCCATCCTGGCCTCCTTCGCTGGGAAGCTCTGGGATGCCGAGTCCGTGGCCGAGGCGGCGGAGGTGCGGAACCGGGTGGCGCAGCTGGGGAAGGCGCCCGGCTTCCGCAGCTTGGTGGATGACGTGGATGACGTGGGGATGGGGATATGGGGGGAGGGTGGTACTTTTCTGTTCTAAAGTTCTAAAGGTTTTTTTTTCAGGATCAGGTATGTAGTATGTCAACTCTTTTCAGTGTGACAGATGTTTTGTTGAAGCCACGGGCTTTGTCCTTTTTGGATTGAACGTTGGCGGCGTCCAGTACTTCTAAGAGAGAGAGAGAGAGCATGAGAGAGAGAGAGAGATATAATATAATGGTATATATATATATATACACATATTGAACCATATTGATAGCATTGATAGCATTGATAGCATGATGGAAAAAGACAAGTTTTTTTTTTCTTAGTAGGTTGTTGTCAAATTTGTCTGGAGGAACTATGATGTATGAGGGTTTCTTTGATCTGAGAAGCACTAGGATTCCTTTGACCCACTGCATTGTTACATACTCATTGTATCTCATTGTCGGACTTGGGTTGGTTCAAAGGAGGGTCCCAAGACTCTCGCGCCAGCGGAGGAATACATGGCTATGCCAGTATCAAGGACATGCTGAATCCAGATGGCATGCAAAGGCTGGAAACGCGGCTTTTTTGTTGAAAAGTTATAAAAGTTCCACTCCTGGCACAATTTTGTTAAGTGGCCAGTTCGGGGATTATGCCAGTGTCGCCAACATTTGGCTGCGGAGGCTTATGGGCGACAGCGTTTTCTGCCTGGTGCCCCGCGGGCGCGCGGCGTGGTCCGTGCGATTTTTTGAGTCTCTTTGGGCTGGCTGTGTGCCAGTGCTCTTGTCAGATCACTATCAACCATCCTTCGACCAGCTGTTTGATGCAACCGAGAGACTTGGCTGAGGGATTTCATGAACTTGATGAACTGCAACCGCATTCCTTCTTGTTCTTTTTCTTCTTCTTGGGAGGGTTGCTAGTGTCGCAGTTTCTGGTTAATCTTGGATATATTTTTCACAATACCGGCCTGCTTGTTTTTTTGACGCAACGAGGTTTGTCATGAAATGGCCCGTATCTCGCATAGATGAGTCCTTGGTCTCCTTTTTGACTAACTTGCCGTTGGATGTGGCGCGACGCTACATCGCAAATGGTCGCAATGTGCGATGACACTTAGCAGATTCAGGTTGATTGATGGATTTCTTGTGTTTGCAATTTTTCCCCCCAGAAAACCAACAAAGTTGGAATAGTCGGAAAGACAGCAGTCTGCACCGGAAAGCATCTAAGAAAGGAGGGACGTTTTTTTTCGAGAAGATCGACACGGATACCACAGCCAAGTTTGCTGCTACCCTCCCATATCGCTGAGGTTGGTACCTCTACCCACCACCGGAGGTCTCTTGGATCGGCGATTGGCAAACGCGGTGGCTCGGCTGTCTTAGAGAAGGTGCTGGTGCATCACCCACCATCTTGCCATTTGTGCAATGTGTGACCAGTCAACTCCACCGTTAGCTCCTGATCTCTTAATTCAAACCAGTCAGGGAGGACGATCAGAACCCAAACCATCAAAACCTATGGCTTTCTGTCAAACGTTCCCCAGTTTGATAAGGACCAGCCCCTAAACGCATGGTTTTCTCTGGCTTCTCTTCTCCAAGAAAGTAAGGATCACGGGATCACCCCCAAAAACCCATTCCTTGAGGCATGAGCTGGAAGAAGTGGAGAAGCACGTGTGCCCCAACCTCTCCTCCTCCCGCAACGCCTTCCAAGCCGTCGTGGAGATCCTGGCCCGCAGGAAGGTCGCGAGCCGAGTGAGGCTGGGGTGCTGCGGTGTTAGATATTCCAACATGATCCAACTGCTGTAGATTTCGATGTATGATGATATGATGATGTATGCTTCCTTGATCTTATACTGATTTTTAGGTCTTGGTGTCCTTCTTAGGTCTTCATTTGTTGATCATGTCACTTCTGGATGCAGACAGAACTCCACTCAAGGTGGTGGTGGTTTCTTTGTGTTCATGCACCAGGGGCCTGTGTAGCTCTCGCGCTTGCAGGCCTGAAGCCTTTTACATTCCAAACCCGCAGCGGAACTTCGAAACCACCGTGGTGGATGATGAATTGCAGCCATTAACCGACTGATCACTTCGAAAAAAGGGTAAGCAAAGCTGTTGTGGCCTTGTGATCCTTGCGATGTTTTCGGAAGTGTGACAACGGTTCAATTCCTTCTTGAAGTTGGGATGCTCCAAACATCAGGGACCTCATTCTTAGATCTGTAGATCTGTTGTTTTCTTTTCCATTTTGATCCGTTCTATTCGCATTTCTATTGGTTGAAATTATAGATACAGAGCTGAATACCAAGAATACCAATTTTTGCGGTTGAAATTCTTATTCGTTCTAAGGAGTTCCTAGTTCTTGCCCCCTTTTCAAAAGATGAACTTCCCCTGTTTCTACCACAGATTGGTTCCGATTTGCCAGGCGGCAAGCAGCTCGCGACCCGTCAGCAAGGTGGTGTCGTTACTTCAGGGCATGAAGGAACAGCTGGAAAGTGAAGCTTCAGAGGAAGCAGAGCTGATGGAGAAGTACAACTGCTGGTGCAAGGACTCGGGAAACTGCAGAACCCCCATGTTTTGAAGGGTGATTTGAACTGAGTGTAGCTGATGATGACTACCATGGGATCTGGGGTCCGCGTGGTGGCAGGAGAACGGAGAGGCTAAGGAGAAGGCCATCTTGGAAGCCACTTCTCGAATCGAGGAGCCCAAGATAACCAAGGGATTTGGTGTGGGGACCAAACCAGGGGCACATCAATGGTGAGATGAGGGGTTCTGGGGTTGATTTGGGGGTTGACACATCGACTTTTACCGCTCGTGATCTTGCAAAATTGCTGGGTGATGTTGAGCCCGCCAGATTTTTTTAACTACACTAGACACTTTGAAGCCATTGAATCTTGATTTTCGACAATTTTTCACCATCCCAACCCTTGCCAGAGAATCTTCCCCCCAGGAGTGGGAGAACCGGATCGCCGAGCTCAGTGCTATGAGCTCACGGTTGGGGACGGAGTACAAGAATCTGCCACCTGGACAATGTTTTGACCCGGGCCGGTGGAAACAAAAATGGGGGGATGTTTACATGGATTTATTCTCAATCAATGGTGGCTACTTTAATGGATTTATCCTCAATCAATGGCTTTTTGAGGCTATTTCAACGGGGAAAACGGGCATCTCATTTTCAGACGCTTGCCAGCTGTGTCGGAGTATCAGAGGTAGACAGAAAATATTACACAAAAGGCGGACATCCCATATATATATATATATAAATATGGAAATGATCGTGCATGCTAGAAGCCTAGAACCAACTGTAGTTGGAAGTCCGAACCCTGGAATTTACGCTGGTAGCCCAGCGGCATTCTGATGTGGCAATGGGACAATTCTTTCAACATGAAAATGGAGGAAACTCACTTCTAATCGATGACTTTTTCACCGCCGATATTATATTGCGAGAAGGCAAGGGTGAATTCTGATGCCCCAAGAATGCACCTTGGAACAACGATATTTTTGGGCTGCAGAGGCTGCGTGCCGTGCCAGCTTCCAAGGCAAGAAGAGGTGGACAAGAACCAGGCATCCATGGATGAATCTATGGCCCTTCGCAAGAAGGAGGCAAGTCACCCCACTTACCTGTAGAATGCTGTAGATGGGGCAAGTTTTGGGATGGTGGGACGCAAAGACTGCATCAGGTTGCAAAGTTCCACGAGGAAGAGAAAGAGCTCTTCAATAGCCTCAATTCAGTGTGGTCCTCAGTATCACTGCTCACATTGCGGGTGACCAAAGCACATTTAACATCTTTTAACATCACACCCACAGCTATCGGAAGCACTCACTCTACTTGACAAGCTTACCATGTAACTCTGTCTTTGGTGCTTTGGGCGTCGTTGCAGCCCTGTGCCGACGCGACTCAAAGCCACTAAAAGCCTTGCCGTTCGACCGCAGAATTCAGTGCTCTGAGCTCTTCCTAAAGAGCTTAACTTTCTCAATCCATTGCGAGGGCCGCCAATCTTTAGCATCAACACATTGGCGCCCAAGGTCCACCTTGTGATGCAGTCCATTCAAAATCATGCCAGCCCAGGATAGGTCACCCAACCATCGCTCGTTTCAACAGGGGTGGTCCAAAATTTGAATGATTTCGCAGGCAAACAACCCTCACCACACAAGCTCGCTTTTTCAAAGCTCCAACCTTAGTTCAAACATTTGAAATCAACCTCGGATTCGTAATTTTTGGTGATATAAAAATCGCTTTCAGCCCCAAGCCAGGGCCAGTCAAGTTGACTGGCCTTTTCAAGGGCCCTCCATGCGCCGCTCACGTCGCTTCTGTGGCGTTTTGCTTCTGGCTCTCCTGGCCTTAGCACCCGCCTCGTTGGGCCCCAAGCGAGCCCTACAGCAGTTGGGGACATGGACAAACCAGGCGGAAAACCGGGATAGGGGAACACCACAACCAGCGAAAGCGTGGATCTCACCAATAAAAAATAACATCTTAAAAGGGTGATGCCGCATACCAACATTGGAAGATACTCCGTTGACCGTGACCTAACTGATATGGGCCATCCCATGAGTGTAGTATAATCGATGAAAAGACGTTCTGACAGAACCATACAGACCACACAGCCAATGGACATGTAGATACCGACCCAATCAGAGAGTTGGCACGGACGCACCCACAAGAAGAGCAGATACAGCATGAGAGAAGCAGAACTATTCACTTTGCAAGATTGGAATTCGGACACTTCCTCTCTGCCATTCAGGCCGTCTCCGCCTTTGGCCGGACCGTGCTAAGATCTGAAGACATGGATCTGGCCAAGATCAGTGGGGTGGAGCCAGATCGTCCCGGGGGGCTGTCCGCGCTGGCCGTGGGGGTCGTGGGGAACTCGCTGGCCGTGCTGCTGCTGGTCCGATATCTGGAGCGGCTGCGGCGCAGCAACCCCCTGCTGCACGAAGGGAATCTGACCCGGCAGACCTCACCGCAGTGGGCAGTGCCTTGGGGATCCAAAGAAATGCTGCAGCAAAACTGGGGATGGCTACGCGCAGCGATGTCGGTGAACATTGATGATGTGGAGGCAGCCGCTGGATTAGATGCCGCCATGATGGTGGAGTTCGCCGACCTATCAATGCAGATTCTAGCTGTCATAGGCGAGGGGAACGCTTTGAATTAGGGGGTAGCCATGACTTGACTTTGGCGTTTCTTTTATTTTGGTGGTATTTTGGAGTTTGGCTGGCAATCAGGGGCTCTCAAATGTCTGAATGCAGGGATCACGTGTCAGGCCTGCCGTTGGTCTGCATCCTTTGCCCTCTTCATTTCTTCTGCGGTGGTAGCCTCGACAAAGATGATATTCTGAGTTGGATTGGCATGGCCAATGTAGAGCAGGGCAGTTGGCTGTGTTGGGTCCACAGTGGTATCGTTTGGTTCGTGGTCATCGTGGTCCAGCATTCAGTGAAGAGCGCACAGGTGTGGGGTTGGGGCCTCCATCCACAAGTTTTCGAAGACATCCATTGATGTAAAGTCAGAAATCTGAGTGATAAGGGTGTAATTTGGACATGCCATAGGCCATAGGTCCATATTTTTTCCCCAACAGCGTAAGCTAATGGGGTCTTCAGCCCAGAATAGCTTTGGTGTGCACTGCTGCAGGCGCCGGGTCAGGTTCAACGAGGTTCCGGAGAAGGTTCCGAAGGTTCCCGAGAAGATCTGGGAGGGAGGCCTGGAAGGCTTTGGAGAATGTCTGGGAGGCTTTGGTGCAGGGCCAGGTCAGGTTCAACAGGGTTCCAGAGAAGGTTCCGGAGAAGGTCTGGCAGGCTCTGGTGCAGAGCCAGGCTAGGTTCATCAGGGTTCCGGAGAAGGTTCCGGAGAAGGTCTGGGAAGCTTTGGTGCAGAGCCTGTCAAGTTCATCAGGGTTCCGGAGAAGGTTCCGGAGAAGGTCTGGGAGGCTTTGAAGGTTCCGGAGAAGGTTCCGGAGAAGGTCTGGGAGGCTTTGGTGCAAAGCCGGGTCAGGTTCAACGGGGTTCCGAAGAAGGAGAAGGTGTGGGAAGCTTTGGTGCAGAGCCAGGTCAGGTTCAACAGGGTTCTGGAGAAGGTTCCGGGAGGCTTTGGCGCAGAGCCGGGTCAGGTTCAACAGGGTTCCGGAGAAGGTTCCGGAGAATGTCCCGGGAGGCTTTGGTGCAGCCAGGTCATGCCGAAGGTTCCCGGAGAAGGTTTGGGAGGCTTTGGTGCAGAGCCAGGTCAGGCTCAACAGACAGGGTTCCGAAGAAGGTTCCAGGAAGCCTTGGTGCAAAGCCAAGTCAAGTTCAATGGGTTCCGGAGAAGGTCTGGGAGGCTTCTGTGCACAGCCAGGTCAGGTTCAACAGGGTTTCGGAGAAGCCTTGGTTCCGGAGAAGGTTCCGGAGAAGGTCTGGCAGGCTCTGGTGCAGAGCCAGGCTAGGTTCATCAGGGTTCCGGAGAAGGTTCCGGAGAAGGTCTGGGAAGCTTTGGTGCAGAGCCTGTCAAGTTCATCAGGGTTCCGGAGAAGGTTCCGGAGAAGGTCTGGGAGGCTTTGAAGGTTCCGGAGAAGGTTCCGGAGAAGGTCTGGGAGGCTTTGGTGCAAAGCCGGGTCAGGTTCAACGGGGTTCCGAAGAAGGTTCCGGAGAAGGTGTGGGAAGCTTTGGTGCAGAGCCAGGTCAGGTTCAACAGGGTTCTGGAGAAGGTTCCGGGAGGCTTTGGCGCAGAGCCGGGTCAGGTTCAACAGGGTTCCGGAGAAGGTTCCGGAGAATGTCCCGGGAGGCTTTGGTGCAGCCAGGTCATGCCGAAGGTTCCCGGAGAAGGTTTGGGAGGCTTTGGTGCAGAGCCAGGTCAGGCTCAACAGACAGGGTTCCGAAGAAGGTTCCAGGAAGCCTTGGTGCAAAGCCAAGTCAAGTTCAATGGGTTCCGGAGAAGGTCTGGGAGGCTTCTGTGCACAGCCAGGTCAGGTTCAACAGGGTTTCGGAGAAGCCTTGGTTCCGGAGAAGGTTCGGGAGAAGGTGTGGGAGGCTTTGGTGCAGAGGTTCCGGGAGGCTTCGGTGCAGAGCCAGGTCAGGTTCAACAGGGTTCTGGAGAAGGTTTCGGAGAAGGTCTGGGAGGCTTTGGTGCAGAGCCAGGTCAAGTTCAACAGGGTTTCGCAGAATATTCCGGAGAAGGTTCCAGGAAGCCGTGGTGCAAAGCCAAGGCAGGTTCAACGGGTTCCGGGGAAGGTTGCGGAAGCCAAGCCAGGTGAGGTTCATTTAATTTAACGCATGGAAATCTCGCTGAGGTGTTTCCAGCGCTTGGCTTCCCAGCAAGCTTCAGAAAGATTTATAAAAATAAAACGCTGCGGCTGTTGGGGATACCATCGAAGCTTATTTTGTTTGCTCGCCTGACTGGCCCGACTTGCTGTTCAGGTCTCATTTGTCTCCAGGCGAGTTCAGTGGCTCCGCCGCATGCCCCCGCCACGATCTACCACAGTGCTGGTGGAACATATCCCTCCAGAGCATTGCTCGGACAGTGGCTTGGTGGTTTTAATCATTTTTTGATTTGTCACTTTTTCATACTTTTTCCAGGAAGATGCTGCCAACAATGAAGTTCTGTAGCAAGATTTTTGCACATACATATTAATATATATATATAACACATATTTTATACATAATATACAATATATAATATGTGCAATATAATATATATATATATACAATAATATATGTATACATACATACATACATGCATGCATACCTACCTACCTACCTACCTACCAACCTACCTACCTACCTACCTACCTACGTACGGTACGTAGGTACGTACGTATGTACGTACATACATGCATGCATGCATACGTACGTACGTACGTACATGCATGCATGCATACACATACACATACACATACACATACAGATGCAGATACAGATACAGATACGGATACAGATACACATACACATACATACATACAGATATACAGACACACAGACACACAGACATACAGACATACAGACATACAGACATACAGACATACAGACATACAGACATACAGGCATACAGACATACAGACACACAGACACACAGACATACAGACATACAGACATACAGACATACAGACATACACGCATACACACATACACACATACACACATACACACATACACACATACACATACACACACATACACACACATACACACACACATACACACATACACACATACACACATACACACACACATACACATGCACATGCACATACACGCATACATGCATACATGCATACAGACACACACATACACACACATACACATACACATACACATTCACATCATTGAAAAAGGAACATACATACATACATATATATATATATTTATTTATTTATATATTTATTTATATATTTATTTTTATTTATTTTTATTTATTTATTTATATTTTAAACTTATAACGCATGTTCGTAGGGGGCTTAAAATTGCCGACGAGGTGGTTTGGTGGCCTATTTCAACTCCGTCTTCGGCCGGGACGTTGTTGAATCAGCGCACGTCACCAGGCCTGCGGCGATCTGGGATCTCAAATGGCACTGCGACGGCTAACGTTAAAATTCCCTCATCTGGGACCCCCAAAGTGATAAGAGACATACTCAACCGGGTGGGATGGGAGGTGTTTTTCCCATTTCCATTACCACCAACCGCCAGGAACACTCGCATGTTGCGCTACCATCTGGCCATGATCCGCAAGGCCCAGGACCATGTGGACCAGGCGGTACGTAGTCTGGAGGCCTGTGGGGAGCGGCCCAAGGCCTTCTTCCCCCACAGCCCCATGCACAAAGCCGTCACGGCGGATCACATCGTCCCGGAAAGCCCCGTGCTTGGGGAGATGCGCGATGTGATTGAACGTTGGTCCGAGGCTGGGGAGGGATGGGGCTAGATGGAATGGAAGAACAATCGCAATGTTTTTGGCTATTTGAAGGATGGACTCTGGTAGGGCAAGCTTTGTAAAGATTTGGGTGTTAGAGAAGATGATGATGGGTGATGATGACGACGAAGATGACATAGTAACGATCCTTCATGATTTCCTGGACTCCTTGGATTTCTATCCATCATTATCCATCCTATTTTGGGATTGACGTCCGTGCGTTGCGCATCGTTGCAGGTGCTGCAGACCGAGCGCTCCGCGCTCTGCGCGGAGCGCCGTCGCCTGGGCCTTTGCAACGCTGGGGAACCGGACTTCCACGAGGGCGGCTATGCGACCAGCGGCTTCGTGCCTGGGCGACAGCTGGGGTCCAGGGGTACAACATGTTTCAACCATGGGAGATGACTGGTGGATCGACATAGAATCAAGGATGTCACTGAAGAATAGGATGAAGGATGGTGAAAATAGCTTGGGGGGTCGTGGGAGGAGTATTGGACTTACAGTGTCCGAAAAACACTGGCCAACTGAATGCCGGTTCCCAACTGTATGAACCTGAAGGTAGCACACAAGTACACAAATGGTTGGCCCATGGATTCCAAGCCCGTACACTTAGTTCAGATATATTCAGGATAAGCGTCCTGTTCCCAGGATTTTGGGCAGCTTCAGCGATCATCTCAGCATAGTGGTCACCATGGCTGAGGGATAGCCAGAAAATTGCTGTGAACCAGAAAGATCACGTCACTACGTCACCCATTATCTTTATGCACAACTTCTTGTCGTGGTCTTGTCTCTCTCTCTCTCTCATTCCATTCTTGATGCACAATCAATTTAGAGATAGCAAGACTTTCGATCGTTGCTTTGTAAGTACATATGGTGAGCTTTTAGTCATAGTAATTAATGGAGGAAGAAGACCCGCTCATTTTGAAACAAACTGCGATATCTACGATCTGAAATGGAAGCAACCTATCGAATTTATGTTTCAATCCCTCTTGGTGTATGTTTCCTATCATTTTTTGTGGTTTGAATGCCCAATATATTGCCGGTCGTAGCCCCAAGTCGGCAATTTCCATCCATTTTGGAGGCTAAGCCCATGTCGTTTCTGGTCAAAATTGCTGGTGAAAACTTGGCACTTTGGTTGGTGAACTTGTAGTTTTTGTTGGTTGACTCACCATTTTTACCAGTGAACTCATCATTTTCTTCTGGTGAACCAGTGAACCCACCATTTTGGTTGTTTAAGTTCTTGGAGAACTCAGGGTTTTGGGTGAAATCAGTGCCATCCTCCACTTTCGCGATGCTTCAACAGCTGGCTTTCGCAGTTTCCGCGGAGGTCACCTTCTACACGCGCCGCGACGCGGAGATTGCGCTGCGCATGCAGTACCGCGCGCATGGCATGCAGCCTCGCGGCCAGGGAGTTGGTGATCCAATGGGCAATGGTTGGGAATCAACGGATTTGCTGATGGGGACGAGCTGATGAATGGATGATGTTTTGATTCTAATCCCCCTCCCCCTGATATCAACTCATACCCCACCCTGAACATGGGATATATAACCCCAACATAATGGCAATTTTTGGAGGAACCATGGTGATTGACAATGGATTTTGGGTGCACAGAAAGAGAGAGAGAGAGAGAGATTTTATGATTTACACGCGCACACACACATACATACGTATATATATATATATAGACATGTAAAAATTGGGTTCGTTCCAACCAAATGCTGCTTCTTTTTTGAATCTTTATATTTTCAATAATTGGAGACAAAATGGCTAGGGTTGCAGACAACCATGGCTGGGGGATACCCAAGAGTATCATGGAGGCAAGATCTGACAATTTTACGGAGAACATTGCAGAACCAATATTATCCTTGCCAGTTGATACTGGACACTAAACTATGAATGGATCTGAAGAATCTATGGAGGGGAAGATGATTTACACATGGTGAAGGATATGTATCTTTCTTCTATTTGGCTACAGCTGGAACACATCCATTGAATGGGCTCATGTTCGCAATGTGGTGATATGCCAGGCACTTGATACATGACGACCTAATAACATCAATCAGATGGGTGCAAGTTTGTTAACAGAAATCTACAGTATGGGATTGAATGGATCCCAGCAACCATTGTAAGAGTGAGTTGAAAAAGGTTTTGGATCAAAACTATTTCCTCCTTGAACCATTGCAGCTGAAAATCCCGTTGAGTATGAGATTCATTCTTCACGCCATCATCATTGCACCCAAAGAGGAATTGCAAGTTAGATCGAGATTTGACAGAAACTTGCTACGGTGAGGCAATTTGCCAGTGGCTGGTTGTTCGCTGACAGTATGGGCATCTCCCTTCAAGAAGCCCTCAAAATTCAGTCTTTTGACCCAGGTTCATTGTGTCAACACCTCCGAGTCCGGAAGACGTTCGGCATTTGGATCTGCAAAAGCGAGAGTGGGGCTTCGGCGACTTCCTTCTGGGCCACTTGGTGCTGAACAACTGTCGGGGGGATGGAGAAGATGTTGTTGATGATGATGATGATGATGACGACTATTTGATTATTTGGAAGCTCAAGCGTCTGCCCTAGGCTATTCTTGCATTGTCTTCCTCTTCTGGGTCTTCGCACCTTTCATCGTGGCATTTTCCGCAGTGGCACGCTTGGAAAATCTACAGACCATCGTGCCCAGTCTCCACGTTGTGGTGATGCTTTGGCCTGTCACTCGTACCATATGGGATGGCCTCGCGAGTTCATTGGCGCTGGGACTCTTTGATTCTTAGTCGCAGTAAGGATCAGCACAGTGGTCGCTGTGAGGGTCTGAGGAATCTAGAACTGAAACACTTTGGAAGTTTATTTTCCTGCAGGAACTTGACATGGATAGTCGTGTTCTAGGTCGTGCTTCCAGGATGGTCAGGGACCATTTGTGGCAAAGAGTTCCTAGCATTACATCCCAGATCCCGCCTCTCTTGATGAGGTGGGCCTTCTGCCGAGTTGGCTGACATTCATTTGTGACTGGCTCTTCATCATGAAATCTGGAAGGCAGTTGCAACTCCAGGCGAGGCCCTCAGAAAACCGCAGACTTTGATGGACCGGCTGGCGTGAAGCAGCCCGTTTGGGGGTAGCCTGGTTTTGAACGGTTTTGACATGTTTTGACCCATAAGGTGCAGAAGTGGTACTTCTACTTCTTGGTAGCTCCTTGGAGGTGACAACTGCGCAGTTGAGGTTGGACCCATCGTTTTGCAGCATTTTTTTTTTGGGTGCATCCTGACCTTAGAGTCCTAGAGCCAAACCCAGATCCTTATGAACCTCCTGCCTCCTGCCCAGGTTTTTGTACTTATGGTTACAGCCATTGGATCCTCACTCTTCTACACTCTGAAGAGTCTAGTGGAACGGCCTGGTGAGATTTTTTCGCTCTTGGCGACCACGTTGCCATACTCGACACATTTTTATTTGAGTTATTTTCCTTTTCAGTGGTGCTGCTGCCATTTGCTTCAGATCCATCTTTTTTTTTGGTGGTGATTCATCCCGTGCTTTCCGGACTTACCGCCTTGTCATCTGCGGCAACACCCGCGACACCTGGCCCATGGCTGAGGACCGTCTATGCTGCGGAGGTTACACGCTACCATGTGGCCGTGAAATATTTTGCTCTGAAAGCCTTGAGGGGGGCTGAAAGGGCCATAGAGGCCTGCGAACCAGAGGATCAGGCCCACTATGGCCGCCCAGATTTTGATTAGAAGGGACTGTGATGATCCTGAGAGTCCGGATTCAGAGCGTGTCAGTGATATTTGTTGGGTTTAATATTAGATCTATTTGCCAGCTCCAGGCATCATCTTAGTAGCCCTATCCCAGTTGATTCTCAATGGGGACAATCTTGATGCGACGTATCTTTAAGAAAGCAGGACTAAGGACATACAGTAGCCGACATAGCCTGGAAACTTGGAAAAAACACATTATATGTACATCAAAACGAAGAGTCTCCGGAACTTCTCGTGAAAAGCCTGTGTGGATGGACATCAATCTGTATGTTTTTACCCACTGCTATCCAAGGCATCGGTGCGAGATCTGCGCGGATGTCGTTGCTTCTGGTCATGGCAATTCTGTTTTGCAGCTTGTCTCCTCTGATCCTTGGCTTTTTTTGGTGGCCATCAGGCTCACCCGAGAAGTGTGATTGCTCTCCATTCCATGTCATACATGTACAATGGACGGTAGGTATACTCCCACCCTTTCAAAGTCATTCCCACATTTGAAGAGCAAACATGGCACAGGATCTGCGTTTTGGGTTTCATTTGCTTCTTCATCTGCCGTGTCGCCTACACCTACCTGCTGGTCTATTCTGAGATCCCCAAGCCTGATACGGGCGGGGCGTTTTGGTGTGCCCAGCTGCATCATGTGCAACAAGGCCTCTTTATCTACGTATTGTGCCTATGGCTCAAGATGATGGAGCGGTTGGTCGGGCAGTCTTTGGTAATCGAACATGGATACGGGACATTCCCGTTTTACGAAAACATAGGAACATCATCCAAACATGAAGGATTCTTCCGTTGCCAGCTTAGAATGCCAGAGGACAAACATTTGGTTTGTAATAAAACCTTAAAAGGAAGCATTTTGGCCTTTCCGAGTGCAGCAGAAAAGATCACATTTATCTCAGATACCTGGGATCTGTTTGGGTACCACTGCAGCGGGTCAGGTTGATGACTGGCGTTTTGCTCGACAAGGCAGATTCCATGGGGCCTCCCCTCATCACCCTGGCCTGTGGTGTACAGCTACTTCAGCGCTACATGCGCTATCGACGCAGGCACCGCGACGGTGTCGCTTTCTCTTTTCGTGTGGGAGTGGATCTAGAATGCCCTGGAAACAATGGTGCTTGGATTCAGTGGAAAAAATGCTGGCCCCAACATCACAAAACAGTCCGATTCAGCGTCCGATTCAGCAGTCCACCCCTTTACTATTTTGGACCTTGTAGCTCTTCCAGGGCCAATGGTGTACAGCGTTAGGTTCGTTCGTCCTGAGGTTCCAGTGGCATGGGCTACCTTTCGAGGATTTGAACCATGAGCCCCTCGTGAAGGTGCCAATTTCGTCCAAGGGGACGGCTTATCGACAGCCGGAGCTTGCGAGTGAGGGCTGACCTGATCGGGTGTCATAGCGAAAGGCTGTTGGAATCAAAGTTGACGCAACATTTGGGGACAAGCCCGGGCTTGAATTTCCAGATCATGCCATTCACGCCATTCAGTCCCTGAACATTATGACACCACCAAACCTTGGTATCTTTATGTATCCAGCTCAATTTGCATTTCAAACATCACCAAATTTGTGACCCACTTGGCGAGTTCTCAAGGAGGGCCAAACTTCCAATGGCCCCAGCTACGATTTGTGCATAATTATAGGCAACAGCAAAGCAGGCCGCGTCCAGGCCTCAATCTCCGTTTCAATGAGGTGCGTTGATGTGGCCCAGACTTTAAGGATCTTCATGGTATGCAGTGACTTCTTTTTCAGCTGAGTTCCTTATGACACAGCTGATCACATCAACCTATCAAATACAATGACTTTTTATGTATATAGTAAAATCATGTTTCTGTGTGTTTCGGATGGCATATCATGAGGATCCCAGGGGCCCTGGCCAGAGCCATTCGGGATGTGGAGGGGATTTCCGCCAGTCAGCCTGCCTCATGGGTGCAGAAAAAAAATGACCAGCGGAGCTAAGGAGCATGCGCCACCTACGGGGTGCGTATACAGAATATACAATCATATGCATACAGTACTTTGTACACCGTACATGCGCATATCTGTCGTACCTAGACACATGTTACATACAGAGGGAATGTAGCCATTTCACATAGGTAGTACCATTCCCAGCGTCTTGTCATGGGTGAACCCACGGCCTGTGACACTTGGAATCCAACTGACACCTCTTTTGGACGGTTGACCCTCCTCCAGCATATAGGTCAGGCTCAGTTGGGGTTCAGGCATAGACTGTCTAGATGTTTTAGCCCGACAATCCGGCTTTGTTTTGGCATCCATGGGATCATGGGGTGCATTTCTTTCGGCACCCGAGTCCAGAAACACTGGTGTCAGGTGAAGTCCGCCCAAATAGTCTTGAACTCCAGCAGTTTCTTGCAGAGACCCTCCCTGCAAAAGCTGCAAGTGCTGGCCAGCAGGCTGGGGATGATTTTCAAGGATTTCGGCAGTTGATGTGACATTTTGGCAGGACATAGTGGTTGTTACGGAATTGGACTTTGAAAAAGTCCATCAATTTCTTTTTTATGGTTTGGGATAGCCAAGGCACAATATGGCAGGTTTTTCATGGCTTAGTAAAATCTCCGATATTCCGGAAAGTCTGGAGTAAAAGAAGCAAATTTATTAAGAGTCTGAAGACCCTTGATCCCAGGACCTTCTCGGCCTTTTGGCTATGATCAAGTGTAGTATCTGTTCTTATCAGTGTGACAACTGATATGTCTCCAACTGGAGACTTGCTTGTTGGTTCCCAACCGCTGCCAACCTTTATCAGCTGGAATTGGCTGACTCTGCAGAAGAGTCTTGACAGTCTTGATGTCCTATCCCAGGACCCCCAGTTAAGTAATAAAGGGCTACGCCCTCTGCCGCCGACCCCTGGACACTGGAGGTTCATGTCTGTGGGAAACTGAGTGACCAACGGGCGCTGGTGCAGGTGCGCAATCTTGTTTCGTCGCTTGCTTCTTGTGCTGTCTCATCGCAACAGAACATCTAAAATGTATGCAAGCAAAGGAAGTATCGAAGTCAAACTTCGCACAAGAGGGACAGATGGACGAGCAGAGATGGGAGGAGTCAGAGAAGAGCAGAGAAGAAGCAAGAAGATCAGAGAAGAGAAAGGGTCAGAAGAAAGACGATGCAGGTTTCTGAAATGTTGCTTTCTGAACTGCCTATAGAAATTAGCTTCAAACCTTGATTTTACCTGCCGTTCTGCACTGCCAGCTTCCAAGTTGCTTGCGTTCTCTTGCAGCTGGCTTTCGTCCTGCACAGCTCCGGGCCAAGGACCCTCTCGCAGAGCCAAAACACCATGGCAGTGAAGGACAGATCGGGCCCGCGGCTGGCAGCCCAAACGCTGCTTTCTGAATTGAACTGCCTAGAAACTAGCTTCAAACCTTGATTCAAACCTTGATTTTACCTGCCGTTCTGCACTGCCAGCTTCCAAATTGCTTGCGTTCTCTTGCAGCTGGCTTTCGTCCTGCACAGCTCCGGGCCAAGGACCCTCTTGCAGGGCCCAAACACCATGGCAGTGAAGGACGGATCGGGCCCGCGGCCGGCAGCCCATACTGCCAAACGTTGCTTTCTGAACTGCATAGACTGCCGTTCTGCATTCCCAGCTTTCGAAATGGCCTGCTGCGTCTTGCAGGTGGCTTTCGTCTGGCACAGCTGCGGTCAAAGGACGGTCCCGCAGGGCCAAAACACCATGGCAGTGAAGGACGGATCGGGCCCGCGGCCGGCAGCCCATACTGCCAAACGTTGCTTTCTGAACTGCCTGGAAACTAGCTTCAAACTTTGATTTTACCTGCCGTTCTGCACTGCCAGCTTCCAAATTGCTTGCGTTTTGTTGTGGCTGGCTTTCGTCCTGCACAGCTCCGGGCCAAGGGCCCTCTCGCAGGGCCAAAACACCATGGCAGTGAAGGACGGATCGGGCCCGCGGCCGGCAGCCCATACTGCCAAACGTTGCTTTCTGAACTGCATAGAAACCTAGCTTCAAACCTTGATTTTACCTGCCGTTCTGCACTGCCAGCTTCCAAATGGCCTGCTGCGTGTTGCAGGTGGCTTTCGTCCTGCACGGCTCCGGTCAAAGGACGGTCCCGCAGGGCCAAAACACCATGGCAGTGAAGGGCGGATCGGGCCCGCGGCCGGCAGCCCGTTGCTTTCTGAACTGCATAGAAACTATGCTTCAAACCTTGCCTTTACCTGCCGTTCTGCGCTCCCAGCTTCCAAATGGCTTGCTGCGTCTTGCAGGTGGCTTTCGTCTGGCACAGCTCCGGTCAAAGGACGGCCCCGCAGGGCCAAAACACCATGGCAGTGAAGGACGGATCCCAGCGTGCCAAACGTCACCTTGTGAAGTGACTAGAAACTAGCTCCAAACCTTGACTTTGCCTGCCTTTCTGCACTGCCAACTGCCAGCTGGCTCGTGTCTTCTTCCATCAACTGTTGCTCTCATCATTTCTTGCCCCTGGCTGATGGTAACGTCTCCTCTGACGTGCCCCCCCTTGCCCTCGGCGGGGTCGGCGGATTCCTCATTAGCAGTACCATCACTTGAGACCCGTGCCTATCCATGATTGAATCTGGGGTTCCAAATCTAGTTTTTATCTAGTTTTTTGGGATCATGACCGTGGAACACAAGAAGTCACACATACTTGTAGCTTTGAGTGAAGCCTTTCAAGAGGACATGATCACACTTGCACTATTTCAAGCCCTCAAATGTCTTCAAACGAGAACATTATCCCACAGGGTTACAGAGCCAAACCAGAAAGGAAGAATTCTGAGAAGGCAGCTTAAACGAGCAAAATATAGGGAAACATATGGAAGAACAGCACATATCAGCATGCAGTTTTCTTTATCGAACCCTCTTGAAGGCAAGCGGATCGCTTGAGTGACCGCGCGGCCAAGCAGTTGGCATCCTTTTTGCAGGATCCTGGCGCAGGCCAGCGCGCACTGGAACCGAGGGCAAGCAAGAATGGCCATATGCGGTTCTTTTGACCGTATTCTGGGATTTATATACTGTTCTATATTTTTCGATAGTTAGCTGCAATAAATATATTTATATATTTATTTATATATATATATATAGGCAGTATACATACCTACATGCATACATTATATCTACATCTCCATCGCCATCTACATTTATAAAGCTATATCAATATCTATTTTTGAACCCCAACAAATGATGCAAGTTTCTTAATGATCTAGTGCGGATGGCACGCATGGCATGGCGAGGCTCTGTGAAAGGCGTCCTTGATGGCCTTGAGATTGATTTCAACAGCAGCTTAAAGGTCTGGAGACCTTGTGGGTCGGTTGTTGGATTTCAGCGGATTTGCCAGCATTAAATGTTATTAGGCTCCGGGGTCGATATTTTGATCGTTGGGGTGATATGGGTGATTGTTGGGGTGACAGGTTTCGGGTCCTGCAGGATTTGCACGACACCGAGAAGGAGAACAAGGGGGCCTATGAGAAGCTGATCAAAGCGAAACGCTTCTTGACCGAAGCGGCCAGGGTTCAATGGCTGGATTTTGAGGTGTGAAACAGGACAGGTGTTTCACAGGAATGCTCTGAGGTGAGGAGATCGACTCTGCCAACGTTCAGATTCAAACAAAGAAGGACAGCTGACAAGACGATGAATGTCTCTGCAAGGCTCCTTTGTATTTGGTCACATATTGCATGATTAGTTATAATTGGAGAATCAAGGATATATTGATATATGATAGACATACAGATGGAGAGAGAGATGAATAGATAGATGAATGAATCAATGCAGACATAAAGGTAGATAGACACACAGACAGACAGACAGACAGATAGATAGATAGATAGACATACAGAAAGATAGATAGACAGATTAGATTAGATTAGATTAGATTAGACTAGATTAGGTTAGATTAGATTAGATTAGATAGATAGATAGATACGATAGATAGATATGATAGAAAGATACGATAGATAGATTAGATAGATAGATAGATAGATAGATAGATAGATTAGATTAGATTAGATTAGATTAGATTAGATTAGCTCAGATTAGCTTAGGTTAGGTTAGATTAGGTTAGGTTAGATTAGATTAGATTAGATTAGATAGATAGATACGATAGATAGATAGATTAGATTAGATTAGATTAGATTAGATTAGATTAGGTTATATAGATTAGATTAGATTAGATAGATAGGTCGATCGATGGATAGACAGACAGACAGACAGACAGACAGATAGAGAGATAGACAGACAGAAAGATAGATAGACAGATAAGATAAATAGATAGGATTAGATTAGATTAGCGTAGATTAGATTAGATTAGATTAGCTTAGATTGCATAAGATAAGATAAGACAAAATAAGTTAAGATAGATAGACATACAGATAGATAGATAGATTGGATATGCTAGATAGATAAGATAGAAAAGATAGAATAGATAGATACGATAGATAAGATAGAAACGATATAAAAACACAATAAAAGAGATAGAAAAGATAGAAAACAATAGATAAGATAGATAAGACAGATAAGACAGATAAGATAGATAAGATAGATAAGATAAGATGAGATGAGATAAGATAAGATAGATAAATAGATAGATAGGTAGATAGATACATAGGTAGATACATAGGTAGGTAGATAGGTAGATAGGTAGACAGGTAGACAGGCAGACAGGTAGAGAGGTAGGCAGGTAGATAGGTAGATAGGTAGGCAGGCAGACAGGTAGATAGGTAGATAGGTAGATAGGTAGGTAGATAGATAGGTGGATAGATAGGTAGATAGATAGATAGATTGATAGATATTTTCTGACTTCTTCTTTCTTCTTCTTCTGGGCTCCCCACCATTGATCTTTCCACACGGACCAGGAGGAAAAGGCCAACGCAGATGAGGAATTGCTGCAGAAGAAGCAGGACTGGCCATCCGGCTGACTGTGTAAAGCTTTGTGAGCCAAGTGCGAAAGGGGAATGCGACTTGCAGCTGGCCTGGGGATGGAGCTCTTTGTTGGTTGTATCCTGTTGATTGTCAGCCAGCATGTGCCAGGTTCTTGGAGGAACCTATGGTCATCAATGATTTCGAACTCTGAACAAGTTCGATCCATGGTTCTTGCACCTTCCCAGGACGTCAAGGATGCAAAGGGTTCAAAGGATGAGGATTTGGCCTTTGCCAAAGAGGCAGGATTTTCAGCAGCTGGCTTTAGAGTGTTGCAGGTGTTGGCAGGACCCAGAAAAGATGGATTTTGGGAAACCCCGAAGCTTCATGCACGTATGCTGTCAGTATTGAGGCTCTTAAGTCAAGTACAGAGACAAAACACATCCCTCAGAAAACTAACGTGCACGCGGGCCTCCTTGATTCTCTGGACCAGAAACACATTTGGAACATTTAGAACATGGCTGTATCTTCTCCACTTCCACGATACTTCCCTTGAGAGTGCTCTCTCTCGGGACATGGGCACCGTCGAGGTACAGGAGAAGTGCGCGGCCAAGGAAAAGGCGTGGGAGCAGCGACAGCAGACGCGTGCTGACGAGACGCAGGCAAGCAGAGAGGGTTGTGGTCTCAGATACCCTCCGGCTTTTTGACATAATTAGCAGTGTGGGGATCAAGTGCGTAATTTCAGGAGGATAACCATGTTCGCAACAGTAATGGATTCCAAGAATCATCTGAACCATTGTGGACCTCCAAAAAATCCCTCCACTTCCGACTACTCCTGGGCGATTGTGCAAACAGGTAGCTAGTCATCACCACGATGAGCAGTGTAGAAGTTCTTGACTGTTGTTTTTCCAATGGTTCCATTATGATTGGCCATACCTACCGTCATACTCCCAAGTTCGTTAGTTTAAAGGGAAACTATTGCTTGCTTCAACACATTGAACCAAGGCGTGTCAAGGCTTGGTACGTTTAAAGTTTGAACTATATCACATCATCAAGCCCCATTCGACCCCCAACAAAGCACATCAACCAGGGGGCCCCAGTTTCTCAGCTTCACCACAGCCAAGCCAGGCCGTATCTAAGGCAATCGAGGTCCTGGACTCTGATGCCTCCCACGAGTTGTTCGGTCCTCCCTGCTAACTCTTTGCGCAGGAAAAAAGTAGGGGTTCCTGGTTTGAACCAGCCAACATTTGGGGATTTAAGGAGTCAAGACGAGTTAAGTATCAACATATTGACGGGCTAAACAAAACCTGATTACTGGGATGGAGCCTCAAGAAATGGGTTGGGAAGCTGGCTTTGCTTTGGGAATTTCTATTTCGGGGCTTTCATGTTGCTGTACTCGTGGGCGTATTGGGTTCTACCTCGATGAACAATTGCTTTATGTAGTAGTATGACAGCAACGACAATGGAAAGCGGGCGAGATAACCTCTGGCCATCCTCAACTTTCGATGCTTGAAAAGCCAGGCAAAACCATGAAGCCTTCCTTGATTCAGCTTGCCAGCAAGGAGGATCAAAGTGCCAGGTGATTTTCATTGGTACCTCCAGGGTTTGCAGATAGCATCCAAACATCAATTGGCTGAAATATCAACCCGTTTAATCACCCTGCGACATTCGGCAACAGGACCCCATGGCCCGACGCTCCCAGTTGTACGACCGCTTGAGGGCTGCTGGAAAAGCGCAACAGGACCGGGCGATCATCAAGGCCAAAGCCTTGATGAAGATGGAGGGAATCAAACATTCCAAAATTATTTATGCTTATTCCAACCCTTTGGCAATGTAACCATTTCACATATAGCTATGGAACGTGGCCCATTTATAGATGTTTTTTTGATGATTTACCTGTTGAAACATATGAAAAATGGTGATTTCCCCATAGCTACGTTAAATTACCATTTTGGGGGGTATTTAGTATGCAATGCTGCTGATAAGGGTCCGCAAAAGGAATGTATGCGATGTTCTGACTTTCAAAGAGAGTTTTGAAGATGACATTCACAATCGCCCCGCCCTGAGATGTTTTGATGCTGGGCCATGGTTCGAAATCATTCCGCAGTTCGAGTTGGAGCGAAAAAGGATCAATCATCTTGTTGAACCATTCCTACTCTGCAGATTTTGGACAGGACTCTCTAATTTTTGTACCTCATTTCGACCTCGTATTCCGGTCTCAGGTGGTTTCCCACAACATGGCCCTTACGGAATCCCAGGACCTGCGTCTGGTAACGTTGTCCTTGGAGGCCAAGTTGGATAGCTTCACGGAGGTGCTCGGAGAGGGTGGTGACGTGGTGACTGGCACCGCAAGGGCGGTCGTATGTTTTCTATAAAACATCAAGTTTGGGAATCCTCCATTTTTGGACCCCCGTGTATGTATATATATATATATGCATTTATTACTATATTCATTTATGTATTAGTTTGTATGTTTGTGCATGTTTGTATGTTTATCATAGATTAGTATTTTTAGGGGATGAACAAATCAAGCATTTGGATAATATGTTTTGCGGGGAGTGGTTTTGATGATGTATGGAAACCAGATCTTTGGGTCCAGATCTTAGAGTCATTTCAAAATTGGATGGTACTCGCTGCGCGATGATTACTTTCGCAAGTCATCAGGAGGCAAACCATGAACTTTCTTTAGCGGGCCCCTCTCAAAGTTTAAAACTTGACTGGGGCGACATTAGCCGATTTGTTGGTGCTGAAATAGGATTGGCGTTTTACATCCTATCCCGGCAACGGGAGTTTACAGTATCTTAAAGCCAGGTCATATAAGTTTGGTCCGCTGCTGACTTTCGTATCAAGGATTCTCCGGTGCAAAGGTCGCCGTGTCATAAACATTGCAGGGGCATCCAGCATGTCGCAGAGAGCTTCAAGGAAGCCTCAAAGCAATAGAAAGTGAAACATATCGTCTTGTGCAGTTTGGGTCTTTCCCGGAAATAGGGATCACAAAATCCTACCAAATGTTTTGGCTCATGCCTCATGCCACTCAAATTTCAGCCCAAGCTAGTCTCGCGGCCCTTGTCCCCATTGTTGGCCCATATTTCATTGCTTACTTCGACAACTTCCCCTTTTTTCCATACAGCCAGGGTTCCTTGAAACAACTAAAACTGGAGTTTTAGTACAGTTTCTATCAAACATCATGGGCCCATAGGTTTTTCAACAGTTGAGTCGGTTGAAACCTCAAGTTGCTGCGTTTCTGGTTGACTTCACCGACCTGTAGCCTCCCAAAATGTGGCGTTGGAGCCGGCCCCTGATGTTCCTCTGGCTGCTGCAGATGTCGCCGGTGCCTGGGCTGTGGACTTGGTGAATTTGAAGGACAATGGATCAACTTGGTGAATATATGTACCCTCTGGTTATGACTAACAGTTTGCCATGGAAAATCACCATTTTGAATAGGTAAACCATCTATAAATATTATAAATGGGCCATCTATACCATGGCTATGTTAAATAACCGGAGGGTATATATATATATATGTTTGTAAATATATTACATACATTTGCACAGATTATCCTAAATACTTATCCATACTATATCATCTTTCAATCCAGTAGGGATTGAATGTTCCCACAGCTGTTGCAATTCACCTACTGCATGAAAATGGTCCCTGCAACACTTGGATGGTGAATTGGAATTTGGATGGGTCTTGTACTGTCTCCCCCCCCCTGGAGATATATCATCACTGGCTTGGAGATTTGTTGAGCCCACAGGCCATCCCGGTTCTTGTGCCATATGTGGGAGGTTCCTGCAATCATCGTCTCGGGTTTTTGGCCAACCATTCCGATAATTCGCAAGAAACATCAAGAAACCCATGGTATTTCATGGCGTTTCCCCATCTTTCCCCCATATTTTCCCCATCCAACTTGTGAAAACACCAAGCCCAAGGCTTGGTGCCCGGCATCGAGCTTCCATCCTTCGAGACAGCCTGTGACGAGGCAAAGATGGACACACCTCGAGTCTTTTGACTTTTTTTAGATGGTACATACTAGACACACACACACATAATATATAAATATATTTACATACATTTATGTATATACATACATTTATGTGTATATATATGTATACACACCTATTAGAATAGACAATGATTACATTATGGTTTGAAAATGCCGATCGAATATGGGATGTTTGGTGATGTTTTAGACATTTCGCAAAGGTGTTCGAAGCCAACCTCTTGCATACTGACTCCTTAGGACTCGTTGAGAGGTGATGAGATGCTGACTCCATTCAAGACTTCAGTTTGCGAGACCCTAGCTCCAGTTCTTTTCAAAGCTTAATTAGTTGCCGGATTATATCAATGAGTCAGAACCATATCATCACTGAAATTGATTTATTATATGGAGATCTTGGAGAACCTCATACGATCTAAGCTCGTCATTGCCAGACATTGCCAGAGTTCGAACCACATGTCCATCATTGATTGCCAGATCTTGTGGATGAAAATCTCATAAAACCTCACCATCTTCCAAAAATCTAGACTTTGGACAGTCTTAGAAAATCTCACATCTCAACCTTTTCCACAAAACACCCAACAAGTCCCAGCCAAATGTCTCCTCGAGATCACCAGGCGCGCTGCCCGGCGTCCGCCGGATGCCCCTGCGCGTTGGGCCGGGTTGCCTGGCGCCCGGAGCGCGCAGAACTTGGCGGCGGCACTGCAACGCTGGTGGAGGGGGACCACCGGAGCACAGCACCTAGGGCTGAAGGATGAGGATTGGAGATTTACCATGATTTACCATCTGGTAATCATGGTAATCCAACAGTTTGCTATGGAAAATGACTATTCAAACATGATTTACCTATGAAAAATAGTGATTTTCTCCATAGCTATGTGAAATTATATGCCAAAGTGCAAACCACCAAGAAACGGGGGATTTAGGCAACAAATCAATTTCTTCACAGATATTTTGCTGGATCAAGCCTGATTTCAGCAAGAGAACATGGGAATTTCAGCAAGAAAAAATTGCGATTCCAATAGTAAATATGGCGATTTAGCCAGCAAACATTGGGGAGGTAGAAAGCTTGACGAGCTGGCGATGGAGAGGGAGAGAGGGAGAGAGAGAGAGAGAGAGAGTGAGAAGTGAGAACTGTACACACACACACATATATGTATGTATGTATGTATGTATGAATGTATGTATGTATGTATGAATGTATGTATGTATGTATGTATGTATGTATGTATGGTATGTATGGTATGTATGGTATGTATGGTATGTATGGTATGTATGGTATGTATGGTATGTATGGTATGTATGGTATGTATGGTATGTATGGTATGTATGGTATGTCTGGTATGGTATGGTATGTCTGGTATGTCTGGTATGTCTGGTATGTCTGGTATGTCTGGTATGTCTGGTATGTCTGGTATGTCTGGTATGTCTGGTATGTCTGGTATGTCTGGTATGTCTGGTATGTCTGGTATGTCTGGTATGTGTGGTATGTGTGGTATGTATGTATGTATGGTAGGTATGGTAGTATGGTATGTATGGTATGATGGTACGTACGTACGTACGGACGTACGTATGTATGTATGTAATGTATGGATGTATGGAATGTATGTAGTATGTAGTATTGTCCTGTAATGTATGTATGATATGTATGTGGTATGTATGTATGTATGTATGTATGTATGTATGTATGTATGTATGTATGTATTGTATGTATGTATGTATGATGTATGTATGTAGGTATGTATGTAATGTAATGTAGTATGTATTTGTATGTATGATGTATGTACTGTATGTAATTGTATGTATGTAAGGTATGTAATGTATGTATGTAATGTATGTAATGTATGTAATGTATGTAATGTATGTAATGTATGTAATGTATTAATGTATGTAATGTATGTAATGTATGTAATGTATGTAATGTATGTAATGTATGTAATGTATGTAATGTATGTAATGTATGTAATGTATGTAATGTATGTAATGTATGTAATGTATGTAATGTATGTAATGTATGTAATGTATGTAATGTATGAATGTATGTAATGTATGTAATGTATGTAATGTATGTAATGTATGTACTGTATGTACTGTATGTAATGTATGTAATGTATGTAATGTATGTAATGTATGTAATGTATGTAATGTATGTAATGTATGTAATGTATGTAATGTATGTAATGTATGTATGTATGT